GGGCTTAATAATAACTACTGTTTTTCTGAAGTATACATTTAGGTGTCCTTCTGAAGTAGGGGACTCATACCATGTACTTGCATTCGAGGAGTTTGTTATTTAAACTTCAGCTTTAGGCAAATTTTCAACTTCTGTTTTTTTGATTTTGTTATTTTAAATTTTATTTATTCTCTTATTTTGCAGAAGCCATTCGAACTCAGGAACCTTAGCAATAGAGTGCTGTCTCACAGATAAGGGTGGTTCTCATATATTTCCACCATCATGATGTTGTTTACTACGCAAGCAGGTAAGGAAGTTTCAACGTCCGGACTTAACGTATCTACCGCAGCAGACCTGTGTTTAGTTGTTAAATCACTGGATGTAGTCTTTTTACTTCCTGCAGGCCTATTCATTCTATTCGGTTTGTGTTTTTTACTGGGATTTAAAGCAGACAGTGGAGTTAGACGCTTAGTTTGGACCATTGGCATTTAGAACAGAGTTAAACTTCTTAAATATAAGAGAATGAATAAAGCGTCTGTAAGGTCCGTTTTAGGGTGTTGGAGATTTAGATTGTTTAGTTCGGTACGCAGTTAGCAGTTTATGCGGATAAAAATGCTGAAATAGAGTATGAAGACACGCTTAACAAATATTATAAATGCAAAGATGCGATAACAGTAGCACTTTAGTAGACACTAGCTGTAATGGACAATTACAGCCGGAAAAGTTATCTTTAATGAAAAAAATAGGACTAAATATTTAGTACTATCCTCGAGAGACCTATTGAAAAGCCACCTATAGAGTAAAAAAGAACTGAGGAATAACACGCGAAAAAGTAACGTATGGTGTAAGACGAAGTGTACACGAGACGAATAACTGAATAGGTTGGGTTGTAGCAATCGCAGAAAGATTTCCCCAACGTTGAATTATGTCAACAATTACTTTCTCAGGTCCCATTGATCAGTCAGGCCTCCATCTCGTCATGATGACAAATTTAGTTTCACTCAGAATAATAAAAGTATGGTGAGCAGGATGTTAAATATATTTAATGAAAAGAAATAAGCAAATGTCTTTACGCAATTGTTTTTCGTAATTATTTCGCCCATGTTGAATTGCTGTGACCAAGCTGACTGACATTACCGGATATCTGTAAATAAGTGAACAAAGTGTATGTTTTTAAATCGCTGAAGTAAGGAAGAAGTAATAATAAAGTTAAACGCTTTATATTTGCATACCTTTCCTGAAAAAGGTTCATTCTGCTTTATTATTCTTTGGTCATGAAAGCATTCTTCTGTGGTTTTCACTGTCACACACATTGTTCATCTTCTAAAGTATAGCACTTAGCAAATAATAATAATTTAATATGTCGTATAAATGGGTGTTTGCAAGGAATGCATGCCATTTCTACAGGCACAATAAGTTAGAATTCAAGGACCATTGGATCGGGTCCCAGTGGCTCAATGGTCTACGAGCTCGCCTTGTAACCAGAAGGTCCTGGGTTCGAATCCCGGTTGGTGCGTACTGCTGAAGAGTCCCAAACTAGGACGAAAAGCTGTCCAGTACTCCCAGGTTTTCCAGTGGTTCTCTAACTGATGTCAGCTCATGATGAAATCCTCCATACAATAAGTTGTGTTACAAATTGCAATCACGAAGTATCATAAATTAATACTTTTTCAAAAGTTTACATTGTTCCAGCAATTAGAACAGGTTATCATAAATGTTAAAGTGTAAACCCTTCACAATGAACACTATATTTGGGTAAGTGCCATGCCCTCACGTAATTAAAAGCTATTTCAGGAGGAGAACAACGTCATGATAAACTGAAAAATGGCATAAAATAAAATTAACGATAATGCGTCATTGAAAGTCCACCTACAAGACATATACAGCAAGTGGCTGTAAAGTCCTTAGAATGGTAGTATACCCCTACAATGTTTAATGCTAATCATATCGGGTAAGCATGGAAACTATGACGTTTTCGATGAAAATACAGCTTTGTTTAAACACTGGTGTTGTTGTGTTTCTAGTCAAAGCGACCAATAGGCACAAAGAGTAAGTCCCAGGTTTAATAAAGGCTTATCCAGTTAACATAAAATGGAGTTCAGTAGTGCGTAAATAAAAAGACTATCGTGAAGTAGATAAGTGATATTTCGGTGACAGGTAAATTGAAAGATCTGCAAGCTAAGAATTCGTAAGACAACCTAACATGTAAGATCTCTCACGAATTTCTGTAGGACCTATGGAGTAGCCTTGATGTTTTGCCGTCATTCTGAACTTTGGGAAGATGATTTACAAATGCAAAAGTTTATAATCATCGAAACTGCTGTAATATTTTCTAGCTGTTCGGAATTTTTCCCTTGATGCAGTTTCTTATCAACAGTTTGCAGTATTCATGGTGAGTTTATAGGAAACTTTATTCTTTCTTCATTTTCACCAACCATCCTTTCACGCACAATAGCATGCAGTAACTACATACACTCGAGCACTGTAATCTGAACATCACAAAATCACTATAGATAGCTTGTTTATTAATAAATGCTTTTAAGATATTAGCCATAAGTGCATCTTCCAAATCCTTCATAGCCACAAGTAATTCATTAAGGATCTCAGAATACCTTAGTGATCTGAAAATGAATAATTATTAAGACTGATATAACTTAAATAACAGGTGCATTACTTGTAGGACACAAGTGCTAGCTACTATTCGACAGGAAGCTGACACTAATTTTTGGCAGCCTGACATTTTAGAAGGACCATCTATACTATTCTTCTTGTCCCAACCTAATCTGATGCCATGCTATGCAGTGAGCAATTACAGTCTCCCGGAATTCCATGCGACAATGTAAATTTAACTAGTATCACATCTTCGCCTGAGTAATTTTAACTAGGAGCTTCATCAAAATGGATATAATCACCAGGAAATCGAGCAGCTTGTCTCATTCATCGCAGTTTACACCTGGCTTTCCATTTTCATTCCACTATCTCTCTATAGCAGGCCGCCTAACAATCTGTTTTGTCTGAAATGCTAGGCTATCCAGAAAACCTCGGTCGGGGAACACCTTTCATCCCAGTGGTCAGCTAAGCTATCCCAGACCTAAAACCGTAGTCAAATGTACGCCAAACGAATTAACGGAACTCGTATTAGGCTAATTATCATGCATCACATTGACCTGGTAATGCATAATGTGGCTCAAAAAAGTAATAATAATATCGGCTTTATTCCAAATAGTGCTATTTATACAATGTGAAATCCGCAGCATTCAATGCAGTAGTGTCGCAGAACTAGGTGAAATACTGCATCTTTGACTTCGAATGAACAATTAAAAGAGCAACAGTAAAGAGTAGACACCAAAGTCAAATGACCTTGAATCTGCCAGTTATATTCTTCTGGGTGCCAAGTGTCATTTATTTGGACAAAGGTGTATTTATAAGGGATATGCGTAATAAAACAATTATACATTTCTCTAGGATGCTGTAAAAACTGATCCCAGTGAATCACAGGAGTGTTTGTAGACATATTAAATCGAAGTCGCTGTATATCATATCATATCGGGAACCATTTACTACTACGTTTTTTAGGTGCACCCATAATCCTTAAATAGAAATGATATGAGTTCCACTTAAAAGATCGGCTTATTCAGAAGTATGATTGACTTTATGATGGATATAGTTTAATGACGATAGTTGCGAATAAACCTATCACTAGAGTTTATGGATGGTAATTCCTAGGAGGACTAGTCGTTGTATCATTGGTATTAAAACATCTGGGTGAAACTTGCAACGAAGGGCAAAGTTAAACTTTAAGCACCACTAACTACCAATCAGCAAACGACCTTCGGCGAACCCATCACATGAAGGAGGAATTTTGACTATAGAAAACGTATATTAATGGAAAAAAGCATAAAAACTGCATAAAACTGTTACATAGGGTATCTTTCTCTGACATGTGACAGAAACATCTCCCAGTCTAGCATAGGACTGTCAGTAGAAGAGTTACAACACACTCTGCACACAATTCATCCAAATAGCTATAGATGACATCTTTTTGAGATACACCTAAACCCCTAATCCTATTTTTTAATCTTCCTCAAAATCCTTCCATAGAATTCACGTGTGTCCCTGTAATGGGATCCACAAAATCGCTAGAACGGTTCACTCTGTGATGAATATATCCAAGAGACGACAGCGAGTTGTAGCCTTTCCATTCATCAGTATGTACAATGGATCCCTGTTTCACAAGTTGAGTGACAATAGGTGCTAAGGTAGTAGAATTTCTGTCCGCTGTTCTCTCCATGAATCCTTTCCGCAGGGAGGTGTCATATAAACCTATCACCCAAACATTGTTGTCTCGCTCACGACCACGGTTGTATTTTTCTTCAGTAACACAGTTTCGTCCACATGTACGACAATACCTTCTCCACCTAACAACGATGAATTTCTCTCCATTTTCTATGAGACAATGTCTCTGCAGTGCTGGTATCACTGAACTGTCAACACAAGGCTATTTTCAGATTCAGTAGCTGTGCCTCTCACAAGGTGGTTTAAAACCCAGTAATTACAAATATACAAAATCTGAGTTAGGGAGAGGTGTGGCCTAGAAAAAATGTTCCTACGAAATAATGAAATCATCAGCTTAACTTCCCTAATACTAAATCGTCACAAGCGAATCGCACAACGAAGGACATATCAATCAGTCGACCTGCTAAAGCTTTTTAAACTCATGACACCTCCACATGAACAAATCCTCTCCTTCCTGAACGACCCCAAATCCAGGCAGTACTGCGAAACCTTACCCTCATCGAACTGCAAGCGTAACTTCATCAGAGCATTAGAGCATTTGATACGAATCAAGCGGAATCCAATCTTGAACTCATGTGGATGAACCTCATTGGACGATTGGAGGTCACTCACCGATTGGTAGCTAGTGGTGCTTAAAGTTTAACTTGGCCAACGTTTCTGATTTTAATAATGACACATTACTGGTTGAAGGAACCTTGGGTATTGAATGTAAGTCCGCGTTAAGGGTACGCGCTGCTTACAACAATTGCGTTACTGCAATTGACGTTCGTCCTTATTCTCACATATTTTACTCGATGAACTTGGATGTAATGGTTAAATATGACTTCTGGAGCTGATGATTGCCCATTTACAAATCATGCTCTTCGTCATACATCGTTATTTCCTGTGGAATTTATTGAATTGGAATAAAACCTAATTTTCACTGCTAAGTATGTTATTCTACTAATTAATCTTTCAATATGTATCCCTACTAAATTAATGGTCATTACCCATGTGTAGAAATTTCAAACGGTTAACTATCCGGTCTGAACGTTTAATTCATGTCAGTGAATCATCTTGCGGTTGTGAGTATTTGGATGAATTGATAGAATACGTATATCAGCACTGAATTTTGTCCAAACTGTAAAATTATAGGCACACATCAGCTCTAGATTATAGTTGGCAGTGGAGCATGAGATATCAATCTCTACTGAAAGAAAAGCAACTATGCCATCACACAAGTTAGACAGTTACGTAACTCCGACCAGCCAAATTTTCCCAGTTTATCTGTTACTTAAAACACCGGGTTCTTTTTGTGTGACTGATTATGCGCGCATAAATCTGCACGTTGAGGGTCTAAGTAAATAATGTTTAAAGACAGGAATTTGTTTATAACGGCGTTTATTTCGTTCATAGTTGAGAGATACCACCATACAGTGAATCCGTAAAGAATAGATACCACAGCCAAATGACCTTGAACCAGCCAATGACATGCTAACAGGTAAAAAAGGTATTTATAGTATAGAGAAGTGATATGTATATGTTTATATAAGAAATGTAGGGTATATTTCTCTTACATACTGTAAAAACGGGTCCTAGTTCTTCGTAGGAGCGGATGTGGATATGTACCATTTCAATGCAGGGTTTAGATATGCCCGAAATCCTGCAACGGAATTTGAATAACTATCAGATACAAGATCCACTAATTCTGTTGAATGATCAACTTTATGTTATTTATAACCTAGCCATAACAATCATGTCTCTTAGCATTTCAAATGAATACTGTCCATAATCCTGTTTGCAAGTTTGGTCCTAACTGCAACCCTTCCTCTACCCTAACCCTGCCGCAGTCTTAACCCTCAATCAGGATGAAACTTGCAACGTAGATTATGAAAAGCACTCATTTATGGTGTTGAGCGTTCTAATTGCTATGCTCAGTGACATTCAGCTATGGTGTCTATTCTTTACTTATACCCCACATTAGTTTCTTCCCTTCAGTCAGCATAATTAATGCATAGTTGTTGGTTATTTCAAGCCACCTGCATTACATCGTGTGACTCTTCAATCAGTTGCGATTTTGTAATTATCGGAGTGATGACGTCGTCGAACAGAACAAGACCACATAGATGTTAAGTGGGTGGTTTGTAATAAAACCTTTCAATGTCTTACTACATCACTAAAGCCATTATATCATAAAGACTCTCCAAATATATACTTTTTTGAGATGGAATCTGTTATGATAATCACATTTTAAAATCCATAAGTGCCGACAGTTTTATTTTTTTTTTATTATTAACTGTAACTACAGTGGACTCTGCGCAATACAGTCACTGTACTAAGTAAAAATTGTGCTGTACGAAAGGTAGTCGTAATAAAACCATCACTTTTTTTTATCTAAACTGTTGACTTTCATGGGGATTAATAGAGTGTACTTTAAAATTCCAAGCGCTAATACTAAGTGTATTTAATGATCTCTAATGTTTTCTTTATTTCAGACTCATGGATTGAACAATATTTCATAATTTAGCTCGTACTTTGTTCAAGTAAATAAAACATCAGCCATAGCCTTTTCAAATCATGGAAGTGACATCTATAAGAAATCAATTGATGCTACTTCTTGACAATCTCAAGAATATTCAGCCAAGTGAAAGAGATAATTTAATAAAATATATGAAAACAACCTTATCACAGCTGCAAGAGAATGATGGAAAAGATAAAAATAACAACGCTAATGACACCGATCATGATTGTAGTAGTACTGTCGATGGTACTCCTCGCAGTAGGAGAAGTATGCCCTCTCCAACATATCAGATGAAAACAGAATCTTCAGATCTGTCTGATTTCATGGATACAAATTTAAACTATTTACAGTTATCAGCTGATATGGTACCAGAGGCTGAAGCAGTTGAAGAAGTGAATGATTTCTCTGAGTTAACAACATCAGTAAACCATGATACCAGTATAGATAGCCATGATTTTCCAGGTTTGTAGGAATTTATGTTTTACACAGAATTTTTTATTCTAGAAGTAATCGATGTTCACGAATTTCTTTCGATAACCGATGCTGCAGCATTAAACTGTTCTGATCCAACGGGTGAATTAAACCTCAATGAAGCGGTAAGTAATTTGATCATTTCATCGGTATGAGAGTTTATTGTCTGTTAAACTTCACTAAGTACTGTCGTATTGTAACAACAGAAGACAAGGGCCAGGCAACAGATCGCTTATTAAGGAAATCAAATCATATTTATATATTTTCATGTACATTATTATAGATTAGTTAAGCAGACAAACACAGTCTTCTGATTGGTTGTTTCTCACAGAAAGTTAACCTTCCATCTCTTTCTGGCTGTGTCAGATCATCCATATGCTAACTGTATCCGCCTACGCAAAGCCTTTGTTCTCATTTTCTCACCACCAATATTGGGGACATAAACATTGACGTCAATTACTGTCTGCCAACTTTGGCTAGCAGCCAGCTCTCACCACAATATTATGCTGTTAGTTGCATGAATATTTAGTTGTTGACCAATATAATTGTGTAGGTGTGTTCTCGTCAGGAAGCAATGGTATAGAGTACTGATATAACTAGAGTTTCACCAATATATGCTGTTGAGATCACTCGTAAGGCACGTTTTCAGTGTACCAGTTATCCTGCGACGTATTTGTTTTTTAATCCATGCTTATAACCCAACTGACGGCCGCTACCTTGACTTAGTAGTTTGGCGTGCTTCCCCCAGATGTATTGTCTCGCACAACGAACAGTTTGTATAGATTCTACAATGCCAAGAGTGTTAACAAAGCTTAAAACTGTCAACTCTATAGACGAAACTTGCTTTAGTGTAATAATTCTATTGGTTGCATTCCGGGTGGAAAATAGGGCTTCTAGCTTTCTCTACCTTTCAATATCTATGGCGTTGCTTTTACAACATTCTGAAGTCATTAGCATCACTTCCAACCTTCCTCCCTTACTGTACTTACTACTGGCTGAAAAACTATTTGAGGTACACAAGTACGTCGGTCGGGATTCGAACCCCGGATCACTTGCGTGGTTGGAAAGTATTCTTGCTTTAAGCTCCCGACATATAACAACTGTAAATAATGAACACTTATGCTTGTATGTTGTATATTTTTCTGTTCCTTTCAGAAGAGTATCCTAGAGACAGCTGTTTAATCTACTGCAGTTGATGTTTAGCTTCCATCTTGATTTCACGCATAATTGGATAGTAAAGCTGAAAATAGAGTCTTAAGGATTATGTTTCAATAGAACTTTAAACTTCTAATTTGTTGGCTTAAGACACATGAGTTGTTCCTAACTGGATATATTCCTGGAATATATATATTCTTTTGTTATTCTTACAATAAGTATACATTTTAATACAATATACCACTGGTTATTAGATGGTTGGAGGCAATCGGGCACAGGAAGCCTTGGACCTAGGTTTCGTGCTAGTTGGCACTCACCAGTCGTAAGCAAGGCATATCTGCAACCTTGAAGGAACTCATATCCCTTCTGAGATTCGAACCCGCGTCACCCAGTGCTGGAGGTAGTTAGAGACGTTATAACTGAGCTTGCGATTGACTTCCTGCCGATTGCCTCCAACCATCGAATATCATCAAATCAATGTGCACGATGATGGTGACCATATTGCAAACCTGACTGATGATAGAATTCAGTCTACATCAAAGAAAGGACTAGACACATCACGCTAGTTACTGACTAGTATCCAATCAAAGTATACTACTGATAAATTGAAATGATTACTTGGATACTAGTCACATCAACCACTAGTGTGCTGAGTAGCCAGGTCAAAGTGATGGTGGTTTGAGTCGTCTAAGGTCGAGCTTAACAGCTGTGTAATCACTTTATTTTAGCGCATATCAGTTCAAACCGTCAGAATTCCGGTTAGCCACTTGGGCGTACTAGTAGTACATTAATTATTAAATTAATTATTTCTTGACAAATCATGCATCGATCCAATTTTTGATGTTAGATGTATCATCATGTACTCAACTTGACAACAATAAGTGATTTATAGTCATTCCAAACTAGAAGTAACCACGTGATGTCTTCTACCAAATAATAGGGAAGTAGGTTTCTGACGATTCACAACCTCTTCGAAGACCTTTCCCCAAAGAACTTTTGAAGATGATAAATAGAGTATTTGACTGCATCACTGTAATCGATTTCGAACCACGATACCAAGGATCTTCAGCTATTGATCCCTTAGGATCCTGATGAGGTATACATTTTCACTACTTTTCAGGTGATTAAGAATATTACTACTTGAATTTTTTCTTGTTTAATCGTTCATTCGCTGAACAATTAGCCTCCATCTTCTATTTAGTTTGTAGCCTTTAAATGATTTCTATAGGTTTACGTTTGATGAGAATCTAAATTCATTGTGTTTGTATGTGCAAAGTTTCACAGACAAAAGGCTAATAAAGGTTAGGAAGGGCTAAAGAATTGTTGTACTTTAGTTTCAGAATCTTCATTCGAGGTAATTATCGTCGACTAATTTTCAAAAAAACTACAGGAAGGTTTTTTAATCCTTGAAAGAATAATACGTCACAACTAGATTTATAGGATGACTAGGTTTTTATGAACGTTATGATTGTTAGTGATAAATAGGCTGATTGTTCGTGGGATCCGCGTTACAACCAGAATCTCCAATCTTAATCAGTGCTGCATATTCATTCCTGTCCTTTATATTCTTCTTAATTCTAATAGCAAATTTTTCAATATATCATGGTTTCTCTTTTCATTTTTATTTCGTTTTAAAACATCCCACTATCTTTAATGACATGATTTTTCATTCGTCTGTTTTCGGATGTAACCGAATGAGTAGTAATTCAATGATGCTAGTAGCTAGACTGTTGATAATAACTGCTAGTTCTTTTTGAATGATGTCTTATCACTTTCATATGTCTCTTGTTGCATTTAGCTTGTTCGCTTTGACACTGTCTCACTAGAATCTCTGGAATTCCTACTGAAAGTAGTTGCTGTTTGGGAAGGGAATGCATCATTAATCTGCCTATATATGTAGATGAATGTAGACTTCGTCATGAACTAAAGTCATTTGGTGAATCGTTGGAAGCTAGGGAACACTGAATGACTGTTTCGTCCTAGTTTGAGACTCTTCGACAGTACACATTGTGATCCCCCTCCAGGACCGTCAAGTTACGAGGCCAACACGTTGATCATTTAGCCACTGTGTCAGGAGTCAGTAATCTTTGAATTCCGACTTTTCTTAATGATTTTATTACTGATATTGGTTTCGCAACAAGATCCACATTAAAATCAACCTGAATATGAGAGTTTATATACATACATATATATGTTCAAGAATTTGTCAAGTAATTAGTGTTATTAGTTAGAGTTCAGATTGCGACTTCACTAGGACCATCGTCACAGGCTCAGTTGTGGAATACTTGCCAGCCACTCACATGAGCTAGGATTCGATCCCTGACCTACGCACTCCTAAACCTCCTCCAGCCGGTATTGGGGCCCCATAAAGAGGGAAGCCTGGACTAGCGATTTCACCGCTGCTTGAATCCTTATGTTCCAATTGTGACGCGAACGAAAAGGAAGAAGAGAAAAAGTGGACTACCGTTGGTTTACACAGCTATTTGATATAAATCTTTGAAGATAGATTGCAGGCAATAGACTATGCAATAAAAACATCACCTTCCTCGTCAAGCAATATAAGCTGATTACATGGGAATGGAGTTATGGGTAACCAAATCAAAAACTTACCATTAATCCATGATATCGGTGACTGTTGGTTTGAGCCAACCACCTAAGGAGGTGTAAACAACCTAGTTAAGGTCCTCCGGGTGGTAAGAATCAATGAAGGCTGGAAACAATTGGTGGTGATATAGCTCAAAGTGATGGTTCTCAATGGATGGCACAGATGTATTCACTCTGAGTGACTGGTTTCAACATAGAACTTTGCATCGATGTGCAGCAGTCCGAGTCAACACACTCCATGTAGCGCACAAAGCAAGAGAAGGAAGTAAAAAGAAGTGCAAGATAGAGACAGTAAATAGAGTTATGAGGTAAAAAGAATAGTACTACAGAAGAACAATATAGTGTTATTGCGTATTATAAGTCACAAGGAGTGGGTGTATCTGCACCATTGAGAACGATTTTGAGGCATATCACCAATTGTCTCCAGCCATTGGTGTTTACCGTCCCGAGGACCCCAACCAGGAAGTCTAAACCTTTATACGTGGCTTAAACTAACTGTTGTGGATTTCGGCAGGAAGCCTTGGACCTAGGTTTCGTGCTAGTTGGCACTCGTCAGCAAGGCGTATCTGCAACCTTGAAGGAACTCATGTCCCTTCTGAGATTCGAACCCGCGTCACCCAGTGCTGCAGTCAGAGACGTTACCACTGAGCTATTCGGGCTCGCGATTGACCTCCTGTAGGACTGTAGTAGATATTTTTGATATTTTGATATTTTCGAATCTCAGAAGGGACATGAGTTCCTTCAAGGTTGCAGATACGCCTTGCTGACGAGTGCCAACTAGCACGAAACCTAGGTCCAAGGCTTCCTGCCGATTGCCTCCAACCACCTAATATCATCACAAACTATGTACACCGTGATGGCGAGCTACCTAGAATGGTGGCCACATTACAACCTGACTGATAGAATTCAGTCTTCACCAAAAAGAGGACTAGACGCATAACACTAGTTCATAGTGTCAAATCAAAAATATCTACTACAGTCCTACAGGAGGTCAATCGCGAGCCCGAATAGCTCAGTGGTAACGTCTCTGACTGCAGCACTGGGTGACGCGGGTTCGAATCTCAGAAGGGACATGAGTTCCTTCAAGGTTGCAGATACGCCTTGCTGACGAGTGCCAACTAGCACGAAACCTAGGTCCAAGGCTTCCTGCCGATTGCCTCCAACCACCTAATATCATCACAAACTATGTACACCGTGATGGCGAGCTACCTAGAATGGTGGCCACATTACAACCTGACTGATAGAATTCAGTCTTCACCAAAGAGAGGACTAGACGCATAACACTAGTTCATAGTGTCAAATCAAAATATCTACTACAGTCCTACAGGAGGTCAATCGCGAGCCCGAATAGCTCAGTGGTAACGTCTCTGACTGCAGCACTGGGTGACGCGGGTTCGAATCTCAGAAGGGACATGAGTTCCTTCAAGGTTGCAGATACGCCTTGCTGACGAGTGCCAACTAGCACGAAACCTAGGTCCAAGGCTTCCTGCCGATTGCCTCCAACCACCTAATATCATCACAAACTATGTACACCGTGATGGCGAGCTACCTAGAATGGTGGCCACATTACAACCTGACTGATAGAATTCAGTCTTCACCAAAAAGAGGACTAGACGCATAACACTAGTTCATAGTGTCAAATCAAAAATATCTACTACAGTCCTACAGGAGGTCAATCGCGAGCCCGAATAGCTCAGTGGTAACGTCTCTGACTGCAGCACTGGGTGACGCGGGTTCGAATCTCAGAAGGGACATGAGTTCCTTCAAGGTTGCAGATACGCCTTGCTGACGAGTGCCAACTAGCACGAAACCTAGGTCCAAGGCTTCCTGCCGATTGCCTCCAACCACCTAATATCATCACAAACTATGTACACCGTGATGGCGAGCTACCTAGAATGGTGGCCACATTACAACCTGACTGATAGAATTCAGTCTTCACCAAAAAGAGGACTAGACGCATAACACTAGTTCATAGTGTCAAATCAAAAAAAAAAAATGTTGTGGATTTCACTGACTGATTCTATGTTTTGATTTGACCACCACTAGCTTTTTTCAAACCTGACCCTTTGTCAGCTAACTTTGCCCCTCGAGGAAGGCGATGGCTAAGCATGTGTAACATTTGTCCTAACCATCTCAATCGATGCAGCTGCCTCACAACTTCGTCGATTGGTTTCCCCTCTTTACTTAGCACTCGACGCCTGACCTCAGTAGTACTCACCCTATTACACCACCTAACACTGGAGACAGAATACAGATAGTTGCGATGAGAGAAAGCTAGCTGGGCTTTTCATGTCTTCCACTCTCATTAGCCAGGTCTCACAGCCATAAAGGAGGATGGAGCGAACTTCTGAGTAGTACGCACGTCTTTTAGTCGGCTGATAGCCGTATATCACGTTAACTAATCCAGATATGGCGTAAGTTGGCAGAAAAATGCCAAACAAACCTTCTATATCTTTACTGAGGCTTCGTCAGCGATCAACCCGTTGGGGCTGGCTGATGCAACCCCTACCACTTTACTCTTCCCTATCTTTAAGCTAAGAAGCAATGTAATCCAATCCTGTCACATCATCTTTCAATTTGACCGAGGCAAATGGCCTGTGAAACATTTGAAGATTGCTGCTGTATTTTGATAGCGTCTTCACCTAGGACTATATCATTTGCCTATTCTAAGTCAACGAAGTTATCGCCTGGCAAGAAGTCAATCCCTGAGTCTCTGAAGTGAGTTAGGGTTAATTCCATTAGCATATCTAAGATGAAATTGAATAGAAATGGGGATGGAGGGCATCCCTGGCGGACACCACTAGTTGTCACTAGCTCAGATGATAACTCACCGTAAGCTGTCACCTGGCTGACTGCATAAGTTCGAATAGAGTGCCTTAATCAGTGCAATGTATTTTCTTGGCATTCGCTTTACTGTCAAGCATCGCCATAGTATCACTTGGTCGACAGAATTGAAGATGCATTCACTCTCTATGATCTGGCATATCCGGAGAAAAATTTTACTGTTCTTCCATGTTACTTTTCTTTCTTCCTCACGTATGTGCTTTCTAGCGTTTTTTAAGTCTCTGTTTTCTTTATTTCGTCTTCATTTGTATGCTACTTGGAATGTGGTGACTCGGGCTGCCCCACTTCTGTACAAAGTACTACGTTAAAAATTAAATAAACAAAACCTGAGTTATTCCTATAATTTTATTTTCCATTTTTGGATGTTAGTATTTTTTTAAATTTTTAATGTTTCCGTGACAGGACATCATTTTCCGTCTTTTTGTCCTTTTTCCTCTCCTCTGCTTACTTTAGTTCCAAGAAGATCCTCACCTCTTGGACAATACTTCATCGAACACTTCACATCAGTCGCCACCACCATCGTCGTCATCTAGCGGAGAGCATCAATTAGTGACTCATCATGAAACTTATTTAAATTGTCCACTGTGTCGTGTTAATTTTGACAATTGGCCAAATTTAGAAAATCATTTATTTACTAATCATAATACTTATAGTGTGGCGCCTGTTTGTTGGCGATGTCAAGGTGTATTTAAAAATCATGCTGTCCTCCTGGCACATGAATGCTTTGATTGGGGTCGATTGTATTTACCCTGTCGTGTATTTATGAATAATAATAACAATAAAAACAATAATAATGAAAAGAATAAGTGGGGAAAATTTCATAAATTTTCTAAAGAAGAATTAGAACGAAAACAATTTCCTATGGATGGTGTTTTTCTCAGTAGACGATGTGGTTTGTGCTATAAATCTGGTGTCACTTATACATCCTATGAAGAATTTGAAAAGTGAGTTATGCATATTAAACATGTGCTATTGTTGTTATTTTGTGGAAGTTAATTTTTGTTTTTTTCGCCGTTGACCGATTGAACCAAAATGTCAGACTTCTGTTGACAATGTCGACTCCTAGTTACGAATTCTTCGACGACGACGTCGGAGGATTTGTTAGATGGTGATTGACTAGCAGTGGAATCCAGGATGCGCATTTCGTTCTGTTTGAGACTGCTAGTTCCATATTAGTTTGTTTACTAGATTTAACTGAAACTGCTGCACATACATAAAAAGTTCTATGTTGAAATCAGTTAGTCGTTTTCTTGACTCATTCTTTTAAAAAAAACAGCTTCAACAACAACCAACAAGTTTTCAGAAAGTTTCTTCTTGGAGTCATTGACTGATAATTATCAAATGACTAACCTATTAAACCTAATTGATAATTATTATTAAACTGACGTTTCCGCTTACTTTAACATACGCGAAATATTTTTGAGATGTACCTCCCTTGACTACATATCCTCTTTTGACTGTGTACCCAAATGTCTTTGTTAAATAAGCTTTCCCTGACACAAACCCGCTTCTGGGCTGTTAACTGGTTGCATTTTTATTTCTCTAATAGAATTCAGTATACTGTATGCAAAGACAAATCTTCTGCCTTACTTACTGAAGCTGGAGTCCCTCAAGGTTTTGTTCTCTCTCCTCTTCTTGTTTTGTATGTCTTGCATGATTTGCCTCTTCCGGAAGAAATCAACTTCCTCGTGCCACTTACATCCTGATCTGATTGTTCCAAGCTGAATAGCTATTTACAAGTATTGGTTTATAGGGATTTTGTTTGTTTGGTTGAGGAATTTCATCATGAGATGACATCGGTTAGGGAACCACTAGAAAACCTGGGAGTGGGTGGGTGCGTACTGATGAAGAGTTCCAAACTAGGACGAGACGGTTGTCCAGTACTCTTAGGTTTTCCAGTGGTTCTATAACTGATGTATACCCATGATGAATAGCTATTTGTCGAACATCAGTCGGTGGTCCAAGCTAAATGGTCTTATGTTAAATCCCTCTGAATGTCGAACAGTTAACTTTCAAGCATAAGCGTTATCTACACGAACCTGTTTGTTCACAAGATACTTGTAGTATCGAAGACACTGAAATAGAAAATAAATCAAGCATAAAATGCCTTGGGATAGTTCTATCTGCTAACCTTTCTTGGCTATGCCATGTTTTGTCGACTATTAAGAAAATGTCCCATCTAACCTTCCACGTTGAGAAGTTAAGATAATCAGGAATCACTCAACCTCTACTTTTAAAATTTGTTAACTCTTGCATCTTAACTATTGATAGAGATAGTGTTGAGCGTAAAACTTACGATTCACTAGGCAATTAGCGAAACAACTGGCTTTTTGGGCTTCTCCTATTTGTAATTTATAGTGATAGTGTTTCAGTTTTCTTATAATTTTAGTCATTAACATTATTATTATTGTCATCATCATTTCGCACTTTTTGTACATTTTTGTCTTTACTATCACTGCTATAACCAAATAGCTGCTATTGACATTTTCAGTTACCTATATCCTGTAATATAGATATTTTTTCATCATGAGGTGACACTAGTTAGAGAACCATTGGAAAACAAGCTGGGCGTACTGGATAGCTGTTTCGTCCTAGTTTGGGAACCTTCAGCAGAACGCACCCACCGGGATTCGAACCCAGGACCTTCTGGTTACAAGGCGAGCTAGTTCGTAGACCATTAAGCCACTGGGACCCAATCCACTGACCCATGAATTCCAACGTCTGCCAATTCATGACATAGCGTGGCCCCTAGCCAATGTCTTCGGCGAGTATTTGTCCTCATACCCGACCTGTTGCACCCTACTGGTCACGACTTCTCTCTAGTGAGCATCTCACTGACCTCATGATGAAATCCTGCAACCAATCAAATCCCTACAAACCAATACTTGAATGAATATTTTTGTTTCTTCTATTGTCGAGTAAATTAGATGCAATATTGTATCAAATAATGAGAACTCCACACTGTATCATAAGTACTGTTTTAGAATAAAGCAAATTATTATTATTATTGTCATATAATTATCATTTATTGGCCGTCTGCTTAATACTTGGGCTACCGAAAAATTCCATCTCTCTCTGTTGCATACATTTTTCCTCGTTCGATTTGTTTAAATCAATTGAGATATGACCTCTATTAATGGTATTATCTACTCTTGTGTATATTTAAAATGTTTACAAGCTCCCGATTCACAAGTTCCTACTAAATTTGAGGAATGGCCTGTGATTGTGGGTATGGCAACGTGTTCCAATACAATATGAGATAACTGTTCTTCAGTTATGTCGTTGGGTCTCAACATGTACTTCTGAACATCTTACAATTGACTTTCACAGCTATATATCGTGGATTTCTTGAAGGAAGGAGACACAGCAGATATATCACATAATGGAATGGTTTGTGCTTCAGCTAGGAGAGCATTGTGTCACAGGAAGGAAATACTGTTAACTAATATTTTAAATCACCGAAAATACCCATTGAGTCATGAAGAAAATAAAAGACAGATTCAGCGAAGAAAATTTTCTTTATCGACGAAATCATCTTCAGAGGCTGTACAATCGTATTTATACTTACCAAAAATATATAGTGGTCTATTATTGAGTAATAGGGGGTGACATAATTGATATAATTACTCAGAAGTGGCTTTAGAAGTGAAAATTAAAAGTTGTAAATTACGTGGTACTCAACGACAAAAAGATAGAAATTTGATAAGGTTAAAATTGCTATTAAGTGAGAATAAAGGTATTTGAGTGTCAATTTAACAAGTGTGAAGAGGGTGTGAAAATGTACAAAAGGAGCATATGAGAGTGATAATAGTGAATTAATTATTAAAGCAAAAGCTAACTAAAAGTGAAATTAGAATGGAAAAGAAAAAATCAAAATATATTTTATTTACAAGGAACGATTAGTGAAGAGGTTAATACCAAGGTAGAATAAGAGACTGGACAAAATTTTTCTGTATACAGAGTTCAGGGTTGTGTTGATGAATTGCCAGTGCCTCCGCCATACACAAAAGCCGAAACCTGACGCCCTTTGTACCATTTGGCTTCACTTTGTCAGGTGAAGTGAAGCCAAATGGTACAAAGGGCGTCAGGTTTCGGCTTTTGTGTATGGCGGAGGCACTGGCAATTCATCAACACAACCCTGAACTCTGTATACAGAAAAATTTTGTCCAGTCTCTTATTCTACCTTGGTATTAACCTCTTCACTAATCGTTCCTTGTAAATAAAATATATTTTGATTTTTTCTTTTCCATTCTAATTTCACTTTTAGTTAGCTTTTGCTTTAATAATTAATTCACTATTATCACTCTCATATGCTCCTTTTGTACATTTTCACACCCTCTTCACACTTGTTAAATTGACACTCAAATACCTTTATTCTCACTTAATAGCAATTTTAACCTTATCAAATTTCTATCTTTTTGTCGTTGAGTACCACGTAATTTACAACTTTTAATTTTCACTTCTAAAGCCACTTCTGAGTAATTATATCAATTATGTCACCCTCTATTACTCAATAATGGACCTGCTGCTGCTGGATTCAACATAGAACTTGGCACCGAAGTGCAGCAGTTCGAGTTGCCACGTTCCAAATAGCACACAAAGGTAGACAAGAAGATGAGAGAAGAGAATCAATTGAATTTAGATAAGTATAATAGTGAAACAGAATCAGTAATGGTAGAAAGGAATATGAAGGTTAAAGAGACTGAATACATCTGCGTAAGCCATTGACAACGATTTTGAGCCATGTCACCTAGTGTCTCCAGCCATTGATTCTTAGAGTCCTGAGGGCGGGCCCCAACCCGGAAGTCTGCATCTCCCTACCTGACTCAGTTTAACTGTCAAGGATTTCATGGATTGATGCCATGTTTTTGTTTGGCCACCACTTACTCTTTTCCAACCTGCACCTATATCAGCTAGTAATGCCCGTCGGGGGAGACGATGGTTAGGCATTCGCAGCACGTGACCTAACCATCTCAATCTATGTAACTTTATATCCTCTTCGATTGATTTTCCCTCTTTGCCCAACACTACGCCTAACGTCAACATTACCTACCTTGTTATACCACCTAACGCGAGAAAGAGATCGTAAGCATCTGTGGTCAAAGACAGACAATCTCTTCATGTCTTCCGCTCTCAATGGCCACGTCTCACCGCCATAGAGAAGGGCGGAGCGAACTGATGAGCAGTATACACGTCCCTTGGTTGACAGCCGGATGTCACGCCTACGCCAGAGACGGTGTAAGTTAGCGAAAGCAGCTCGAGCTTTCTGGATCCGTGCTGTGATTTCGTCACCAATCAATCCGTTGGTGCTGATACAACTTCCCAAATAGGTGAAGTGGTCAACATGTTCTATCACTTCACTCCCTATCACTAAGCTAGGAGTTGACGTAGTCCAGTCCTGTAACAGCATCTTGCATTTCACAGGGGCGAGTCGCATGCCAAACATACGAAGATTGCTGCTCAAGGTGTTCAGAAGACTCTGCATTTTGTCAGCGTCCTCTCCTAACAGGACTATGTCGTCTGCGTATTCTAAGTCTATAAGACTATTCCCTGTTGGCAAGTCGATTCCTAAGTCGTTAAGTTCAGTTAAGGATACTTCCATTAGCATATCTATGATGAAGTTAAACAGAAAAGGGGAAACTGGACATCCTTGACGGACACCACTGGTTGTTATCAATTCAGATGACAATTCCCCATAAGCCCTTACACAGCTACGTGAGTTTGAATAGAGTGCCTTGATTAGTGCAATGTACTTTCTTGGCACTCCCTTCATAGTCAAACATTGCCATAGAACCTCTCGATCCACGGAGTCGAAGGCCGCCTTCAAGTCAAGAGATATGGCAATTGTTGGACGCCTAAAAGTGTGTCTATGTTCTAGGATCTGTCGGAGAGTGAAGATATGATCTATGCACCCTCTACCTGGCCTAAAGCCCGCTTGATTTTCCCTCGTTTGTTCCTCCCGAGTTCGGCTTAGTCTGTTCATGATTACTGAGCCTAGGATTTTAGAGACTATGTTCGTTAGGCTGATTCCTCTATGATTATCACATGAGGACTTGTCTCCCTTCTTGAATACTGGTATAATAAGTGACTTACCTCAGTCTGATGGAACCGTCTCTGATTCCCAGACGTTACCTAGTATCTTAGTTAAACTATATACTAGTATGTCACCCCCATATTTAAACACCTCCGGAATAATTCCGTCGGGTCCTGCCGCTTTGCCTCGTTTCAAATTACAGATAGCTTTGGTGACCTCAGTTACAGACGGCGGGCCAGTGTCTATGTCCCATTCGGGTGTGTGCTGGATGGCAGGGAGGCTCAGTGTGGCTGTAGGCAAGTTAAACTGTTCCTCGAAGTGTTCTTTCCAGCGTTCGAGGCGTCTATCCTGAGAGCTAATTAAGGAGCCATTTTTCTCACAAATAGTCTCACTTATGATTTGCCTTCTCCCACCCGTTTCCCTGATGAGTCTAAAGAGTTGCCTAGTGTTGCCTATCGCCGATGCTTTTTCCACCTCTTTCGCCTTTGTCAACCACCACTGTTCACGCTCCTTGCGGAGACTTTTCGTAAGTTTCCTTTTGTGCAGCTTTCGCTCCTCATTGAATTCGGAGCTCGCCGGAATAAGTCTTCTGTCATCTGTCAGTTCGGATGAGGCAGTCGAAATCCAATGGTTTTTACTCACCTTTGGATTTACCTAATTCACAGCTTTTACAGCTGTATCTATGGCTGATTGAATATTCTTCCAGGCTTCTTCAGGGTGAGCGCAGCTGTCGAACTCAGATATATGTTTAGCTAGTTTCCTGATCGAGCTGGGGACGTGATGGGTTTACTGCCAGCTGTTTCCTACGTCCGTTCAGTCGTAAGCACACACGAGCGCGGGCCAGTGCGTGATCGGTATCTACACACGTGTTCCAGAAGGAGCGACAATCCCCTACCGACCCACGCCAACGATAGCTTATTGCTATGTGGTCTATTTGTGTCCAGCGTTGGTTTGATGATGGAGGTCGCCAGGTCAAACAGTGTCTCTCCTTGTGTTTGAAGTTAGTGCTTACAAGATACAAATGATTATCTGAACAGAACTGTAGGAGACGGTCACCGTTGTCGGTTCGCTGGCACGGAATTCCGTATGTGCCACCGACATTCTTCTCAGATTGACACAATTTCCCCACTTGAGCATTAAAGTCACCAGCTATAACGACTATATCTGAGCGTCTAGCCTTTCGCAGCAAACTAGACAGCTTTTGGTAGAACTCATCCTTCGTTTCATCCGAACTGCAGTCAGTGGGGGCGTAGGCGGAGATTACGAAAAGGCATCGGCGGGTAGTGCAGTCCTTTCTTCTTTTCACTGATCCGTTCAGACGGACAGCACACATTCGGCTATCTACCGGGATCCAGTCAAGTAATGTTTTTTCTGCCCTAGTACTCAAAGCTATCCCAACACCAGCTAATCCTCGTGAGCTAGCCGTCGCATCTCCTGACACCCTCAAGGTGAATTTTGCAGATTCATCCTGTTGGCCAGGTGGGGTTAGGTGAATAACCACACTTGGGTCTTGTATGCGTGTTTCTGAAACACAACATACATCAATGGCTCGGGATGCCAGAGTCTTGGCTAGTGATGCCTGTTGTCCTATTTGGCAAAGTGTCCTAACATTAAATGCCCTTATATGAAATTGGTGACGTGGCTTTAGGAGACTATCGATGGTGGCTTTTTGGCTTCCGTCGTTTTCAGTGCACACAGAGTGAAGAGCCATTAAGTAGAGGAGTTGCATTAGTAGAAGGAAGGCAAGATAATAGAGATGAAGATGAAGACAAAGGTGAGTGAGGATTAGAGAGGTTTCGCGTGCACTTCGGATTGTGAGAGCGATTGTTACTTCCCGGCTGCCCACACCATGGAAGTTGGTTGCGTGACCGCAGAGCCCAGGGGACAACTGCTTGAGGCCGGTCACACGCGGCCTGTTTTTGTTTGTTCTTTTTCATTTGGTGTGTCTCAGTAGCGTATTTATCACTTCTGCCCTGTGACACGGCAGCAGAAAGCGCGGTCGTTGTTAATCCGGGCCCCGACCGATCCGGCATGATATTTTGTGATTTATTTGAAGTCATAGGATTGGATTGGGTAACTGCTTTTAGTCTAACCGCTTTCCAAACAACCTTTCTGGCATGGTAGGACCTGCAGGAACATAAGTTCCAGCCAGTATAGCCTGTTGGGTCATTGCGGTGTTCAAGCCCGACCACCACGTCAAGGTAGCAGCTTTTGGTCGGGCAATGATAGACCACTATATATTTTTGTAAAACTAATATTTTACTTGAAGATATTGCCATAAACTCCTCTGAAAATTATGTATATTTTATAAATACTGCCCAGAATAAAGATATTATTATTAATATGCCTTATTCCAGAACAGTACTTATTATTATTAGTGAGTCGGTGGCTTAGCGGTAGAATGCTTGCCATCCACACCTCTCGTGGTCCGGGGTTCGATCCCCCTACTGCTGACTTACTGCTTTATCTCGCTAAGTCTGTAATAAGACCGGTTGAGATGGAAGGTTGTGTGAGGCTAGCAACCCAACCCCGTAAAAGCAAACACCATTGCTACTGAAACTTCAAGCCTCCAGCTTATAACCCCATGTTCCACTGGGAACGTAAAGGAATAAAATAAAAATTAAAAAATTATTACTAAACTTTGTGTATCAGCTAGTCAAAAAAACGTAAATTTTAAGTTGCTTGTGAATTACTACCGAAAATTTTCAATTATTTGTGGTTTTCTCGTTTTCATCTGTTCCTTTCTTTCTTTCTTTCTAGGCATAAGTCATTATCGCATTCTGTTCACGGTGTAGACAGTGGATTTGAACCACCCTCACTATCATCTCGTCTTCAATCGTCAACATCTTCAGTGACGCGTAAAAAGAGAACTCCACTAAAAGTAAGTTTTCTATCTGACATATATATATATGTATATGAGTAATTATGAAAAAGAGAAAACGTTCAGCGAAGAGACTCTTTTCGGCGAATTCATTCACATAGCTGTACAATCGCATTTATTTATAATTGTTTGTGTGTGTGTGTGTACATGAGGTTTGTCAAGTTTAAATAATTAAGCAGGTAATACAAGAAACAAGGTTAATTAGACAGCAACTAAAGTAAGGTTGAGTTAGTAAGTTAGATGACGCAATATAGTTGACTAGGTCAGGGTAGCAACAGAGGTAATTACAGGTAGAGACTAAGTAGAAGTGGGGTAGAGAATAATGCCATTTAAATTAGAACTAAAATTGAGCAAATAAGTTGGATGACGTAACATAAATGACTAGAAATTGAGCGTTGGTCAAGTCAGTAACAGTGGTAATGAGGTGCAGAAATTAAATCGGGTGGGGGTAGAGAACAAGAAGGTTGAAAATGTAAAATATTACAACTGAGAAGACAAAATAATACCAATGAAGAGACAGAAGAGAAAAGGATTAGGTAGAATTTACCTGTCGGGTAATAAAATAGATTACGTGTAATTGTTATTAAAGGTGTCTCATACGATAGATTCATGGTTTGTTGCTGGACTGTCTTGTTGCTTATCTCTACTGGTCGTCTGGTCTTCTCTATTGAGTGAAGTCAGGTGTTGATCACAAAAGTTTGCAGTAGCCTATCTGAAATGCTTTTTGTGACGCCTTAAGTCTCTGAACCAATATAGAAGAACTGTCTGACAGTAGATTTCCAGATTAATGAAGATCTATCTGCCTTGCTTTTCTGTTGCTGCCTTTGAAATCCTCATCTATGGCGCGCCTGTCGTTTAAATGTTTCTACCGAGATAAATGGAAGAAGTGTCTTCCTTCGACTTTTTCCCCTTGATGGTGATTGATGTTTGTTGTTGTTGCTGATTGGTTGGTTATCTTCATCATCTCTATCTTCTGTATGTTCACTTGAAGTCCCTTCCTTGCTTCTGCTTTTGACAACTAGTTGGATTTCGCCTGAAGGTCTCCGACCGTGTGTGTGTGACATTTTACATGAATCATTCGCTAAATCCTGAGCTTTCAGTGACTTCTCGTCGGTCCAGTGTATATCGGTCTCACTGTCCATGGTCTGTTGTATGATCCAGTCCATCACATTCACGGAGATCATCAGTAATCGTAGGCAGCCGAGTCAGTCTTATTCTTGTTTCCACTTCGGAAGCTTCACTGGGCTTTGTGACAGTATACTCCGTAGTGTTGTGTTGAAGCAGTTCCCAAATTACTTCACAGTCTCCACTATTGATGGCATCCCCAAAAATCGTTGTCAAGGTGGTAGTAGGGTTGATTGTCATTCATACATACGTTTCAACATTGTTTAACGTGACTTTCACCAACTAATAGTTTGCAGTTATCTTCAGTTTTTTTCTTTATCACTGAAATAAAATGTACTTCGGTAATCTTGTGGTAGAGGTACTCGCCAACCATGCACATATTCTTCAAGGTGGTGTCTCTAGTCGATGTACTCCTAAACCGCGTGTAGCCGCTAGTACGCCCAGTGGAGTGGCAAAGAAGGAAGGTTGGATGGTGGGCATCATCAGCACTAATACTGGAATGTCAAGTCTCAAGCTTAAAGCCCTGTGTGTTCCATAAGGAACACAAACTGCTGATTTCAATTAATTCCCTCCTTTCCTCTCTTTCTTTCTTTTAGCCTAAAGTATCATCAAATATTCATCCTTGTTCAGATGCTGCAGTACGTAGTGTAGTACGTAATTTAACTGAACGTTTTTATATGTTAAAAAATCAAAAAGACCGAGAAAAACAACGTGCAAATCGTCGTAGAAAATCAAATCTACGGAATCGTTTAATGAAGAAGGCGAATACTTCTGCTGGTGGTGTTGTACTCTCAAAGAGAAATAGGCATACAGATGTTCTTCACCCGTCTGAAGCATCTCTAACAATTCCCATCACAATGACATGTAATAATGACAGTGCCGATGCATCTGAGGACACCAATACTACTGTGAGGACGAATAATCCTGATAGTACTACTACTGTTACTACGACTAGTGATACAAATCTTGTTGACACCGATACAGTGGAAACAATCATCTCACCGACAATGAATAATCTTGAAGAAGGTGAAAAATCGCCGAATTATTGTCCATCGACATTTTTAACAAGTTTACTGGCCGCTCAACGTGCTAAACGTAATTTAACGTTAAAAAATAAAGTAAGCTTAAGTTGTTTTAGTTTTTTTTTTCAAAAATAATTCTAAAAGACTAAGTTTAGTGAATAAAGAATATTCTCTTCTATAGTTGGTTTGTAAGGGTTAGTTATGCTTTTAAGAGTTGATCACGGATTGATATCAGTTAGAGAACCATTGAAAACCAGCACTGGAGTAGTGGACAGCTGTTTCATCCTAGTTTGAGAATCATCGTCAGTGCGCACCCACCAAAGGGGTTCGAACCCAGGACCATCTGGTTACAAGGCAAGCTGGCTCGTATACCATTGAGCCACTGGGACCCGAAATTACTGGACAGTTATTTCGTCTTGGCTTAGGACTCTTCATCAGTACACACCCCCGGGGTTCGAACCCCTGGCTTTTTGGTTACAAGGCGAGCTCGTGGACCATTGAACCACTGGGACTCAATCAAGTGACCTTAGTCTGATTTTTCCTTAGACTTAAACGATGTGAAATTAATAAAGGGTTATTCCGGGCAAAAATAATAAACCCACAAATGTGAATGCCTCCTTGCGATGATCATAGTGATCTGTGCTAACGTTGTTGTAACCAATGGACCTAAGATAGATTTTTACCTTCAAACGTTAAGCTACTTATTATTGTTGTTAGTAGTAGTATAATTTTTCCTCAAATTCACTTACATTGTGACTTTTATTATATTTATTAATTTATTTTTCTTTATAGCGTTCATGTCAACAACGAGAAGTTTCCTCTGCTTGTAGTCCAAACAATGATGCAAATGCGAAAGCATCGACGTTCTCTTGTGAAATTCCTTCTTGTTCTCCGTCTTTATCTACTTCTCCTTCTCCGTCGATTGGCAGCAGTAATACATCAGAATATAATATAGAAAATATGAATATTCGAAGGAATTATTGGTTGTTACGTCAGAATGGTGGTCGGAAAACCACTAGTACTGCTAATAATAATTCGAATAACACTAGTAGACGTTTAAGACTACAATTCAAACGTAAATCTTATGCTGATTTCCAGAAAAAGATGCCTACAACTTCGTTCACCGATAATTATAGAGTGAATCCAATGAAAATTAAACGATTTATATGTCAGTGTTGTTCAGCTGTGTTTCGATTGTCATCTAGATTACGAGTGAGTTATATTTCACTTTTTAAAAAAATACTTACTTTTGATATAAATATACATACTACTGGTTAACTGAGATGTTTTCAAATATTGGTTTTGTAGGGATTTAGTTTGATTGGATGGAGGATTTTATCATGAGTTGGCAACAGTTAGAGAACCACTGGAAAACCTGGGAGTACTGGTTAGTCGGCTGTTCCGTCCTAGTTTGGGACTCTTCATCAGTACGCACCTACCGGGGTTCGAACCCTGGACCTCGCAGACCATTGAGCCACTGGGACCCGACCCAATGGGCAGTCTGCCAATTCACGACGTAGCGCAACCATTTCGCAATGTCTTCTTTGATAAGTTACTGCCTCATCTTCAACCTGCTGTGGGCCACTGGTCACGGCTTCCCACTGGAACTCCAGGTCACTGCCTGAGTAGGGCCAGTCGCTAGTGAGCTCAATGGTCAACGAGCCGTCTTGTAACCAGAAGGTCCTGGGTTCGAATTGTGGTAGTGGGTGCGTACTGATGAAGAGTCCAAAGCTAGGACGAAACAGCTCTTCAGTACTCTCGGTTTTCCAATGGTTCTCTAACTGATGTCATGTTATGATGAAATCCTCCATTCAATTAACTGAGATGTGTAATTGGCTACTGATTGGCCCAAATATTTATTAATTATTATTGTTGTTCCCTTGGGTTCCGAATGAAATATATGGCTTCAACAGCTCACCTTCACTTCGTCCTATTCTCTATGGTCCTCTTCAACCGATCCTGCCATTGCCCATAGTCTCTGATCGCCTCCATGCACAACCTCCTCTATGATCCACGCCAAACTCGTTGTTACCCATTCGACTTCCACTCGAGCTCCAACCTGGCATACGATATTCGAAGGTCTCCTCAACGTGTGCCCAATCCACCTCCATTTTCTTCAGCATATTTGTTGAGTAGTAGGTTCTTGGTTGGTTGGTTGGTTCGTTGCCAGACAAAGTTTCTTGTTCGTAATTCTTTCTGTCTGGCCATTTGATCTTTATTATGGAACTGGCGACGACAGCTGCTGATAAAAGTCTGCAGCTGACTACTGTTGGAAATCGTTTACGTGACACGTCAAGTTTCTGAAACGTATAGTAGCATCAGTGCGTCGGTGGCATAGCGGTTAGGGCGCTCGCCGACCATGCACATGGTCCGGGGTTCGATCCCCGATCATCATCGAACAAAGCATGGAGTGGCAATCAAACCTCTACATCAACTTTATAGACTTTGAGAAGGCCTTCGACAGCGTTGACCGCAAAGTAATTTGGAAACTACTCGAGTACTACGGCGTACCCCAAATATTCATCAACCTTATTCAACAACTGTACGACAACGGCACATGTCAAGTGATCCACAACGGAAAACTCAGTGAGGTGTTTGGAGTAAACACAGGAGTCAGACAAGGGTGCTTATTATCACCAATGATATTCCTGATTGTGGTGGACTGGATTATGCGTCAGACAGGGATATCCTGGACCGATGTGAAGAACCTAGAAGACCTGGATTTCGCACGTGGATGATTTTTGTTTGATGTCACACAAAATCGAAGACTTACAAGCGAAAACCGACAAACTGGTCGAAGAAGCAGCAAAGACAGGAGTGCAGGTGAACATAGACAAGACGGAGGTTATGAAAATAACCAACCAACCAACCAATTAACAACAACAGCAGCAGCAACATCCAGCGCCAATCACCATCAACGGAAGGGATTTGAAAGAAGTTACTTCATTCACTTATCTAGGGAGCATTGTCTCAACTACAGGAGGAACGGACGAAGATGTCAAATGGAGAATCGGGAAGGCGAGAAACACATTCATCAACCTGAAACCAATCTGGAAATCTTCCTCACTCAGCATCAACAACGAAATTCGGATTTTCAATACAAACATCAAGTCAGTTTTGCTATACGGATCAGAAACTTGGCGGGTCACCAAGAATATTTTCAACAGCCTGTTGCAGACATTTATCAACAGCTGTCTTCGTTCTATACTCAAGATCAGATGGCCGGAAAGAATCACCAACAAGAAACTATGGGAACAAACAAAACAAGAACTAATCGCTCAACAAATATGCAGGAGAAAGTGGAGATGGATTGGACACTCACTGAGAAGGCCGCTGGGTGACATCGTGCGTCAGGCCAGTGCTCGAGTGGAACCCGAAAGGTAAGCGGCGAGTGGTTCGTCGGTGCAAGGGTGACATGGAAGAGATCGTGTGAAGAGAAACTGAAACAGTATGGACTAACATGGATGCAGGTGGAAAGTACAGCAGAAGACAGAAGCAAGTGGAGACGTGTAGTTGAAGCCCTTTGTTCCACTAGGAACCCAAGGGAACAATAATGGTAAGAATAGTAGAAGAACTGACTGAATTAACATTGCTGTTGTAAATCATTCATGAAGAATTTAAATCAGTTCATTTTATGCTTAAAACCTGCTGTAGCTGAAGCGGGATGTTGTCCAGAAGAGGGGCTGACGACGAAAGCACCGCAATTAAACCAACCAGCTCACAGAAAACAACTGATTGAAGTCAGCTTTGTTTAGGAAAAAAATTCACTTGCTTGTAACAGTGTTTGTTAATCTACCGATTTCGTGTTTTTATTTGTTGTTTCTCTTGTTCTTCCCCATTCATCCTTCTTTTAGGTGCATTACTTATTTCAACATGGTCATATACCAGAAAGTTTAGGTGGGCTATCTCCACGACCGAATGAAACTGTGATCAATTGTGAATGGAATCAATCCTCCCAGGAGAATATTAATGATAAAAGCGAACGTACTTCTGCTACTTCCAATAATAATATTGATAATAACGCTACTGACAATAAAAGCGAGTCTAATCAATTATTAACGCAAGATAATATGAACAGAGGTACTACTACTACTACTACCTTAGAGGCTGCTGTCACTGGTCATACTACTCTTGCATCATCGCAATCATCATCATCGTCCAATGTGCTAAATGAATCAAAAGGGAACTCCATATATTTGAATACAAGAAATAGGAAACGTAAAGCGGTTAACGAGAACAGTATTATTGATAGTACTGATTCTACAGATTGTACTACTACTACAGTTCGAAGCTGTCGACCTACAAAGAAATCAGTCAAGGATATAACTAATCAAAATGGTCGTAAAAGCAGATCTACAGATGTGGTAAGTGTATCTTATCCTGTTTATGTAATACATTTCTTCTTTTGGTATATTATAAAACTGTTATGTCATGTCAGTATCTGTAGACACTCCAGTGTTGCTTTTGATGTAGTTGTGTTCTCTGAGCTGGGTGGTTTCATCCCCCCCCCCCACTAGGCAACATCTTCAGCGCATACACTTCAATTTGCTGGAGTGAGCTTTTCGATTTCTCTACGAGTTTATTAGTCATCTCTCCTGGTGACCTGAACTTGAACATGATTGGTTGTTTTTGTTTGCTTTTACACCCTGTAGGCTACCTGTATTAGTACTGGAGTTTGACCTTTTGTGTGTAAGATTTCCTTCTTATCGATTAGTAAATTTTGTCGATGTAAATGTGTCTGTTGATTGACGATTCACTGGAATACCAGACAGCCTTCTAAAAATCCCCTAGCATTCTTGATGTTTCCTCTGTCTAAAATTTAGACGTTGGTTGTCTCAGTCGAATTGATGTCCGTGGTTATCTGTGTGCAGCGATATGAGTGAGGGAGTGGATATCATTTCTTTTGCCGGCTAGTTTATGTTCATAGATACAAAGACGAAGGAGAGGGGCATCCACTTTGGCCAATATTATGTTTTTCTCAGTTGTTACAATTTATTTTGTATATGATGTTGGTTTTATCTTCTTTCACTGTCGAGTCTTTTGGTTGATACAGAGCTGAGTGAAGTGATTTTGTTGGTTTGTGTGCTACATCAATTCCTAAAGGTTTGAAGGGTCTTGCAGTGATTTCTGAGATGTCTTTTATATATATGGTGGGGTGATTTCCTTTGTGCTTTCGTTGGGGGCCTTTGATTTGGTAGATTGGCTTGGGGGTAGATATCTTTTGATGACGAGATATCTTTCTTTAATTTCCATTAAGATAAGAGTTCTGCAATGAGTCCTAGCTCTCGCTCTCTTGAATAGTGTTTGTATACAATTCCTTTTGTTGTGTTAGTGGATTGTTGCTGCTATAATTGAGTATTTGGTCTATGTGAGTTGATTTTCCATAAACTTGAGTTTCTAATTTTCCTATGGTTGTTCTCTTGATTAAGACGTCCGAAAATGAGATTTTCTTGGATTCCTCTTTTCTTGTGAATTTGATGCCGTTGAAGACGTTGTTTATTAAGTTGTGAGTTGTATCTAACTCGTTTCTTTTGATTATTACTTAAGGTATCCAAATTTTGGGTTTGATGTTAGGTAGGATTATGTTTTCGAGTCTTTGCACCACAACTTCTGCAATCAAACTTGATACGGGTGATCCCGTGGGCAATCCTTTAATTTGTTCATATATTTAGCCGTTGAACTGAGAGGACGTTGTTAAGCATAGGTTTATACATTCCATCCAACTTGTGTGTTGCATTTTTTATTATTGTAGGGAGTTGTTCATCGTTGCTGAGTAACTACTCCATGGTTTCTTTCGCTAGTTTCTGTTCCCTTGAGGTATATAATGCTGTAGCAGCGAAGGATACGAGTGTTAGGCGACATAGGATCAGGTTGGAGAAGGTCTTGTAGGCGTCAAATCAAAACATGGAACCAGTCTTCGACAGTTAGTTTGAACTAACCACGTAGGGAGGTGTAGATTGTGTGGCTGGTTGGAATCCACAGGATTCTAAGACTAGAGGTATGGCCAGAAATCGTTGTCAGTGACACAGATGCATTCATTATCTGTGATCTGCCATATTCAAATGTATAATTCCGAAGCACGTGAAGGATAAGCTACCAAGTTGGGCCACTTCAATGTGTATTTATAAATGTAACTGTTCATGTGAAGATAGTTACATAGGTAGAATGACTCAGCAAGCCCACCGTCGCCTTCTGGAGCATTATCCAACGTGGTTAGTCAGTTCGAATCGTAAAGTCAGTCAGAGGTTCCATACTGGAACATTTAGTGGTATCCACCAGGAGTACAAGATTGACAAAAATTCAGCTTTTACAATTCTATACAAGCTGTCACCTCAACTCCCCAGGTTAGTACGTCTTCAGTTGCTAAGCACAGCTGAGATAGTTGCTACAGAAAAATTTTTTCAATCTCTCTTCCTCTCTTGGTCTTCACCCCCAACCTAGAATAATCCATCTCTCCTGATGACACTGCATAACTGTCAATTTTTATTTTATTTGTAATGCTAACTGTATTGTCAATATCATGTAGTTGTGCTGTAGTTGTATATTTTAATGTCGGTTTCACAATTCATTATCATTATTAAATTATGTAACCGCTCTGTAACAGTAGTTATTTTGATTGCATGTAGGATTTCATCATGAGCTGACATCAGTTAGAGAACCACTGGAAAACCAGCTGGGAGTACTGGAAAGCTGTTTCGTCCTAGTTTGGGACTCTTCATCAGTACGCACCCACCCCACAGAAGGTTCGCATCCAGGACCATTGAGCCACTGGGACCTGATCCAATGGCCCATGAATTCTAACTTCTGCCAATTCACGACATAGCGCGACCATTTCGCAATGTCTTCTTCTATGAGTTACTGCCTCATCTTCAACAGACGAAGAGCCCCAAACTAGAACGAAACAGTTGTGCAGTACTCTCAGGTTTTCCAGTGGTTCTCTAACTGATGTCAACTGATGATGAAATCCTCCATGCAATCAAACAAAATCCCTACAAATCCAATACTTGAAAAGTAGTTATTCCCCCCCCTTACCTCTAGTGGGACACATATTCTACCTATTCACTTGCCATTATCTAGATTATATAAACACTTGAATGAGTTTATTATTATTATTACTATCATTGTGATCACCTCGATTGTAATCGATTACTTCATATCCCTGAACTCTGATCCTTGATACTTTATCAACCGCATTGATTCAAATGCCTACGACTAATATATTTGATTATGTAAATGTAAAGCCTGATGAGAATTTGCTTAAATCGTGTGCTATAAATATCCAAAAAATCCCTATCGCTCTTCCATGTTACCATTCTTTCTCCCCTTGCACATTTCTGCTGATTATCATTCTTTCGAATCTCTTTCCCCCCTCCTCGTTTGTCTTCCTTTGTGTTCTATATCATGCATGAAGTGTGGCAACTGGAACTGCTGCACCGCTTCTGTGCAAAGTTCTATATAGAAAACAATTAGTCAGACAATCCAGACATTAAGCTACAGTTATTAATTTGTGGTATCGTGGTAGATCTCATTACGAATCGATAAGAGATAGAGAATCACTGTAAACCAGGAGGGATATACAGGACATCTATTTTGTCCTAGTTTGGCAGTCTTCGACATTTTACGCATTCATGACCCCAAACCAGAGGTCCAATTATGGATTATCAGGTTACGGGACGAACATTTTCCTCATTCAATCACTGAGTGGGAATCCAATCTGTAGTGCTGCTTTCAATGGTTATTGTGCGGTAGAATGCCCATCAGCTACACAAATAGTCTGGGTTCAACTCCCCACTAAAACAATCGTAAACCTCTTCTAGTTTACTGGTCGATAGTAAGTCCTATAGTGAAGGAAGTTATGAAGTTAGTCTAGTAACCTCACCTTGTCGAAAGAAAATAGGCGCCAATGGACCTTCACCGGGCTTGATGGATACCTTTGGGTCATGATTTATCACTAAAGCTGTAGCCAATTCTATCTTGTATTGGGTTATTAAGGAGTTATCGGGCCATTGGATTTCGTCTCATTAATCTGATTGGTCAACGGGTTCGTCTTGTAGCCAGAAGATCCTGGGTTCAAACTTAAATAGGGTCGTGAGTATATACTGCTGAAGAGTCACAAACTAGGACAAAACATTTGTTCAGTAATTAACTGTTTCTAGTTCTCAGTAATTTGTAGATTTCTTTTTTGCGACAACTTTAGACATCAATCTAGACAATCCTTTTTGCTAGTGTTGCATATGAAAGTGAATTTTGTACGAATTTTTTAGATGTTCATTGGGAATCTCTTCTCAGTAATAGATTAGGATGTTGATCTTTTACTTAGCTGTGTTCCCTTTTGAATGGCCTATCTTCTTGTTAGTCAGGCTTTATCCGGACGTATCACCCTTTAGTTTGCGTGGATTTGATTGGTTAACGGTTTGCCCATGAGTTGATATCAGTTAGAGGAACCATTGGAAAACCGGCAAGAAGTACTGGACAGCTGTTTCATCTTAGTTTAGAACTCATCGGCAGTACATACTTACTAGGGTTCGAACCCAATTCGAACTCGTAGACCATTCAGCCACTGGGACTCGATCCAATGGCCAACCCATGAATTCTAACTTCTGCACCAATTCGCGATTTTAGCGCGGCTCTTGAAAAAATAACCTACAAACTAACCCATCTCTCTTTGTTTTTTTATTCTCATAGTTTTCACAAGATTTAACAACTGACAACAATGAAATCGACCAAATGATATCAGATGAAAATTTACCCTTAAAACGTCATTATTGTCCAGAATGTGATTTAACTTTTGCAAAATCATTTAATTTAAAACGTCATGAAAGTATTATACACCGTCGTGAATATCGTTATTTCTGTGGTTATTGTGAATTTCGTACTGGACAGCAGTTAGCCTATGAAGAACATTTAGCAAGACATTTCAATGTTAAACAGTTTGTTTGTGAAGTAAGTTTACATTACTGGTGTTTTTTTTGTTGTTGTTGTTTTTGCATTTACTTTTGTAAGTCAGTAACTCATGTCATGCGTCAATATGTAAGACACTGAGAACAGTTGTTCAGTGCATTGATCATTTTGTGGTAGAGCTTACGAAGAGTTGTCATCTGACAACTGTGATGACAGCCAGAGGCGTCTGTCATGTCAGGGATGCCCACCGTCCTCCCCATTTCTGTTTAATTTCATCAGAGATATGCTAACGTGATTAACCCTAATTTAGGAATTGACCTGATACCAGAGAATAGTCTCCTTTACTTAGAATATGCTGATGATATAGTCCTTCCTCGTAGGTGAAGACGCTGACAAAATAGAGCAGAGTCATCTGAACATCTTGAGCTGAGCAGCAATCTTGGTAAGTTTGACGTGTTATTCACTCCTGTTTAAATGTAAGATGATGCTACAGTACTTGATTACATTTGACTCTTAGCTTAAAGGTAGACAGGAGTGAAGTGACCAGTGGAGCGTGTTGACCACTTCACTTATTTGGGAAGTTGCATCAGCCAACACCAGGGAGTTGATCGCTGATGAAATCTCAGTACGTATACAGAAGGCTCGTGTGACGATTGTTGGCCGACTTACGCTATCTCTGGCGTAGACATGATATCCAGCTGGCTATCGATCAAAGGACGTGTGTACTGCACTGCTCAGCAGTTTGCTCCTTGATGGCTAATGGTGAGACCGTGCTAGGTGGTGTAATAGGATGAGTAATATTGAGGTTAGGCGTCGAATACCAGGTAAGGAGGGGAAATCAGTCTATGAGGTTGTGAAGTTACATCCATTGGGATTGTTAGGATAAGTGTTACGCATGTCCAGCCTAGCCATCGCCTTCCTCGATGAAAAATTGTTAGCTGGTAAAGCGTCAGGTTTGAGAAGAGCTAGTGGTGGTCAAACCAAAATAGGCAGTCAGTCAATAAGATCCATAACAGCTGGTTTGAGCCGGCCACGTTGGGAGATATAGGCGTCTTGGTTGGAGTCCTTGGAATAGTAAGAACCAATGAAGGCTGCGGACAGTTGGTGATATGGCTCGAAATCCTTGTTGTGAATGTCGCAAATGCATTTACTTTTTGTGATTTGTCATATCTAATAAGACTCTATCAATCTTCCATGTTACTGTTGTTTTTCCCTTACACTTGTGTTTATTATCTCTCTTTACTTTCTTCTCTTGCTTTGTGTGGTACATGGAAAGTGTGAAAATTTCTATGTTGAAACCAGTCAGTCAGTCAGTCATTCCTTTATATTTCTCCCGTTGATTATGATCGGCGTTTGTTGTTGTTGTTGTTGCTGTTGTTGTTGGTGGAGTATCTTCATCACCTGTTTTCTCTATATTCTCCTGAAGTTCTCTCTTCCCTGCTTCTTCTGCCAACTTGTTTGACATTAGACATAAATTATCTTCGATGTATAGATCCTCTAGAGTGTTTTCGTCAGCCCCTGCGACATCATTTTTGCTTGAAAGCATTGTTACGGGCGCGCGATAAGTTTCACTGATAGTTTGTTGCTTCATTTCAGACAATCTACTCTCGGCTCTTTTTAAAGATGTTGGCGAGACTCTCGTAATTGCTCTAACTGGATTATTCAGGAAGGTATGGGAGACTGAGAGTGTACCATCAATGTGTAACGAAGCCATTTTCGTCCCCGTCTTTACGAAGGGTTGACGTAATTCATGTGACAATCATAGGGGTATCAGTCTGCTAACAGTTGCGTCTAAAATATTGGCTGCTGTCTTGCTTCGCAGGCTGTGCAAAATACGTGGGGGATTGATTCGCGAAGAGCAGGCTGGGTTTCGTTCAGGTCGTGGATGCATTGATCATGTGTTCACCCTTCGTCAGTTATAGTGCAAACCAAAAATCGTTGTGTTTCTTGATATTAGGGCTGCCTTCGATTCGTTGGACAAAACTGTGCTATGGAAATGTCTTTCAGAGAGAGGGGTGTACCTGAGAAGTTTGTTGACACCTCTTCAAAACCCTATACAGAAACACCTCAGGTAGATTCAGGGCATACACCCAACTATCATCACTGTTCCCAACCGACAGGGGGGTTAGACAGGGTTGCCCGATCTCTCCATTTCTCTTTAACTTTGCTATCGATAACATTCCGGAGTAAGCTCTGAAGGATGTGCGTGAAGGTGGTGTAGATCTGCTCCCTGTGGATAGACTTTTCGACCTCGAGTATGCAGACGATGTCATCTCACTGTGCGATAACATGCAGGCTGCCCAAATCGCACTTAATCAGTTGGCGATCAGTGTCTGTAAGTATGGTATGTGATTGGCACCGTCTAAGTGCAAAGTACTGTTACAAGATTGGCAGGAGCCTGTACCTGCACTCACTCTTGCGGGTGAACCGCTTGAAGTTGTCGATAAGTTTGTTTATCTGGGTAGTTGTATGAGTGTTGATGGAGAGGTGACGGATGAGATTTCCAACCGTATAGTGAAGGCTAGGGTGGCATACATCAACTTGAGCCACCTCTGACGCCGTCGCAACGTTCTCCTGGCTGTCAGAGGTCGAATATACAATGGTTCGGTGCCGGCTGTTTTGCTCTACGCCTGTGAAACCTGGCGTCTCCGAGCTGAGGATGTGAGGCGGCTCTGCGTGTTCGATCATCGCTGTCTCCACAGGATTGCTTGCGTTCGATGGCATCATCGCGTGAGTAATTCTGAGGTCCGGTGGCGTGTGTTTGAACACAGTGGAGATCACCATTTGTTGAGTGTCGTCATCTGGAAACACCGGCTTCGGTGGCTTGGACGAATGGTATTCATCATATTTCTCTCTTCAAAATTATTAACTTTTGCCTCATTCTTTTGTTTGTTTCATACTCTACAGATTTGTAATTCACGTTTTACTAGTAAACGTGAATTAGACGACCATGTTTCATTTAAACATTCAACTGAACGCAATTTTGTCTGTTCAGAATGTGATCAAAGATTTAAGGTAAGCTGAGATTTACTGTGCTATTTTTATGAGTTTATCTGTACTATTTTATACATGATAGCCTTTACTACTAATAAACATTCATTTCCTCTTCATATGGATCACGTCCATGTCACTCTCTCGGATGCCTTAATGCCTCAGAGTGTGCTGTGAATTCTTCGTGACATCCGACTGACTGAGTTTCAATAAAGACGTGATATCCGGCTGTCGACCACAGGACTTGTGAACTGCTCAGCAGTCCGCTCCGTCCTCCTTTATGGCTGGCTGTGAGACCTGGCCATTGAAAGTAGAAGACACGAAAATCCCTGCTGGCTGTCTTTGATCATAGGTGCCTGCGTTCTATTTCCCGTGTTAGATGGTATAATAGGGTGAGCAATGTTGAGGTTAGGCGTCGAGTGCTAGTTAAGGAGGAGGGGAAATCAACAGACGAGGCTGTGAAGTTACATCGACTGAGATGGTTAGGACATGTGTTACGCATGTCTAGCCTAGCCATCTCCTTCCTCGTTGGGCAATGTTAGCAGACATGGAGTCAGTCTGGAAAAGAGCCAGCGGCGGCCAAACCAAAACATGGCACCAGTCTGGGCAATCCACAACAGTTAGTTTAAGCCACGTAGGAAGGTGTAGACTTCCTGCTTGGGGTCATCGAGACGGTAAAAGCCAATGGCGGCTGGATACAGTTTGTGAAATGGCTCGAAATCGTTCTCAATGGTTGGGTCAGATGCATCCACTCCTTGTGACTTACAATACCCAATAAAACTATATTCTTCTTTGATATTAGCATTCTTTTTGCCGTACACTTGTGTTTATTGTCTCGCTTTACTCTCTTCTCTTGCCGTGTGTGTTACGTGGAGTGTGGTAGCTGGAACTGCCGCACATCAGTGCAAAGATCTATGTTGAAACCAATCAGTCAGTCAGTCAGTAAAGAACCTTGCACAGAAGTGCAGCAGGTCGTTCAAGTTTCTATAGCTTAGTGACGTGTGAAGCTAATCTGTTTATCATGGACTGACACTGAATTCATACTCAGGTTGGATTGTGGTTGCGCACTGATATGATGTGTTGAACTGGATCAAAACAGAGGTGCGATTCTCCATATAATTTTATGCCGATTTATGATGATAATTGCTTTGATAGACTTTTCAGTTACTAAACAGGAAATCCAAATACTGAGGAATAAACAAAAAGGGACGTACTAGCGAAGATGAATTATTTTTATGTGCTGTAAAAAGGCATTTATATTTATCAAAGAAAAAACCAATCAACTATTAATAGTCATGTTGTTTATAATTTCGTAAAAATCGTGAGTGCCTACTTGTAAGTAGTGTGAAATACTTTTAAGAAAAACTTCCCACTCAAAATGACATGTAAACTGAGGTTTGTGTATCTTTCGAGGGGTATTATAAGACAAAACAGTGTGAGATCTGTGTGTGTGTCTATTACAAATGATGATGCTTGTTTGTGCTGAACACTTCGAGATGTTATGGGAACATACCTTGGTGTATTTTAATCCTATGGAAAGCTGTAACCAAAATAAAAAAATAAAAATAAATACCACATCGCACCACGCTCTCCAGTGGAACCCGGATGGAAAACAATGACTTGGTTGCGTGTGTACGATGTGGAAGAGGTTGTGTGTAAAGGAGATGAAAGCTTATGGGCAGTCGTAGAACCAGTTATAGAAGGCTGCACAGAATCGAGTTAAATGGTGATGTGTTACTGTGAAGCCACACCTTTCACTCTGGAGTAGCACTTCTACTGGAGCTATTTCTTATTTCCAAATATCGAGCTATGGACCTTTCCGTAGAATAATCACACTAATTGCAAGTAGGCACTCTCTGATCTGGATAAAGCCCAGTAATACCAAAATATATCAGCGTCTAAACTTTGATGTTGGGCATCTGGTTATTTTATTCAAACACTAACTTGGTACATTACAGTCACCAGGAGATACGCCACTCGAAATCTCACGTTTGTACCAGGGCTGGAAAATTACCCGAACATTGAGACCGAAACGGGTTCTTGCCTGATGGAGACAACCTTCGAGCCTTTGACTTAAAGCCCGATTGACAAGGTAGTGGAGCAGCGTCATGAACTGCATTCCCATGGTTGCTGGTGACCGAAACAGGTTCATGTACCATTCAATTCCTTCGTATTCTGGAACCCATGTACATCATAGGTTTAGAATCCGGGTTTTTCAGATCGCTTAGGTAAATCGGCTTGTTTGTCAGCCTGATTGTCAACATCAGACGATCCTGTTCTCCCTCCTGTTTTGTGTGGAAGCGGTCAACAGGGCACACCTGACAGAGTTTATGGACGAGTAGCCACGTGGGTACATTTCGAGAGTAAGACGGAAATCTACCCATCTTCGACCGTACCAGGTCTCTGACACAAAATCGATTGTGATCATTAAAGTTATCCAGAATGATCACAGCAAAGCACGAAGACGGTTGAAACTTCACCTAGTCGGTTCTGTTGTAATAAATGCAGCCGTTCCCCTGTAGGTTAGGGTATAATTGCATGTGTTAGCTGTAAAATTACTACATTTTTCCTTGTGGTATATATCATCGGAGGAAGTATAGCTGATTTAGTGAGGCATTTTTGGTTTCACCGTGTACTAATCTTCGAGACAAGCATATAGCTACGGACAGGATCAACCAGATTATTCACAGGGTGATACACCCAGTGACTATGTAATTATACATTGATTGTCATGAGAACTGGCCACATTCACCCAACCTCTTTTGCGTTATCTGAACAGCATGCAGCATCATCCTGCGGCACAGTCATTCATGAGCTCTCTCTCCCGGTGACCTATTCGCACCAATAGCTTATATATATATTAATAGTGTATATGTGAGCATAGTTACTCCGGTCAATGATTACGTTAATCAGTTATACACGGCGTAGGCTGGCCCAATAGAAGCGCTTTATTATAGGCAAGAGTAGCATGTATAGCAATGCCATAGTGACACAGGTCCTTGGAAACGAGACTAGGATCCATAAAATTTTATGAAATCCTTAACCCGTCCAACCAATTTAGCATATAAATAACCTGTGAAAGTCTACCAATGACTATTGAAAACCATCCACACTCATATTAGCGGGCTGTGAGACTAGTATAACCTAATCTCGTACTTTCTATATAACGTTTGCTATAGTTACTATGTAAGATATATGGGTAGTAAGCAAGTCAGCCTAGCTGAGTGCTGCTAACACGTCCTAACAAGCTTAAAGCCGTAATACCATTATCTCTTATCCCTTAATCATTTGGGAGTATTACATCATTATCATGTGTATTCCTGAATTGTGTGCGTCGGTGGCACGGCGGTTAGGACCATGCACATGTTCTGGGGTATAATCCCCGGCCGATGCACCACTTTACCTCGCTAAGCCAGAAATAAAGTTTGTAAAGAGGAATGGTTGGGTATGAGGTTAGCAAACCCATCCTGTAAAAATAATCACCACTGCTACAGAAACTTCAAGCCTCTAGCTTGAAGCCCTATGTTCCACTGGGAACGTGAAGGAATAAAAAAAGTTCCTGACTTACTACGTTAAACTGTGAATGTCTAATAATAATAATAATAATAATAATAAGTTTATGCCTTTTTATAAAATATTTTTGTCGTTTTTATCGCAACGAGATTATCTACTGATTTATATATAAGTAGCCTACGGTTTTCTGTGAAAATTTGCGTTGAAATCAGTTATCCCGATTTATGAGCCACACTTTTGCTATGTGATGACTTACAATACTAGCACTATCCATTTTCCTTATTATTTATATTGTTCCTTACATCTGAAATCGAAAATGAGGATCCAGAGACACATCTTCATCATTCTAATCAGTTTTGTGCGGTTTTTTGGCTGGCCTAAGGGCTACCTACAAGCTTTCATTTCTCGCATATCTAGTCTCCTCCATTTCGCTCTGTGACGTCTAACCTGTTGCTTGCTTTCCTTTTGGATACTATTCGAGGACCTGGTGTTAGCTGACGGTCTTCTCACATGGTATGCCGAATCCATGTCCCTTTCCTTCTGCATGTTTTTTATTTGGTAACTAGTTGTCGACTGTTTCACTGAACTGCCATAGTTGCTTGTCACTTCTGCCTTACACCCGACCACCCAGTCTTCATTATCAAGCCAGACTGTGAAACACACTTATTTTGTGATTTCATGATACTTACCATCCAGTTTCCTTATGTGGAATGGATGCTTCATAGGACTTTTTCTCAGCTTTATGTGTTATATTAAATACTCAGTAGAATTTTTTCTGGGAAAAGGTGTATAATTTGATGTTCTTCAGTGATTTTAAGTTTGATCCCGAAGTGAGTTCAGTTAGAGAACCAGTGAAAACCAGCAGGCGGTACGGGATAGACGTTTTGTCATTAATTGGGACTTGAGAAATACTCCCCTATGACCCCATCGGCGATTGAACCGAGGATCTTCAGGTTACGTGGTGAGCCTGTTTAACATTCAGTCACTGTAATGCCATCCAATGGCCGGCCCATGTATTCTACCTTCTGTCACTTCTCGATTTTATATCTTACCACCACCAGCCGACGTCATCGGTGAGTATTTCCGCCTACACCCGATTCGGCAGACGCCGGTGATCACGAGTTCTTACTAGAAATTGAAGTTCCAATGGTTCGGATTCCGTCCCAGTGATTGAATAGTCCATGGAATCACCTCGTAACCTCAAGGTCGTAGGTTCGATCTCGCGATGACATTGTCTGGTTGCAGTCGCGCTAAACTCACGAATTGGTGTGGCTATTTAGTCGATTTTGAGTGGCTGAATGGTTTCTGAGCTTTCCTTGTAACATGATAGTCCCGAGTGCCTGCTGACGAAGAGTCCGAAACTCGGACGAAGCACCTATCCAATACTCCCTGACTGATATCAATCCATTGGGCAAACTTGAGACTAATTATTACTGATACTATATAAAACGGTGATTAGAAGTGAAATGAAATTCGACAACGAATAATGGTCTCCCTCATAGATTGAATTGACCGCCAATGACTAGATCACTAGCAATCATTCAATTTTCAATCACCCGTTTATTATTGTAATTTAAAACAAAGTTCAATAATGAATTCAATAATCAACTGATATTATTATTGTTATCATCCCATGATTTTTGTGTAGTCATTGAAGACAAACACAGGCACACACACGCACACACACACCTACATGCATTTACGAAATTACATTCATTCTCGTTTGCTTTTATGTATTCTGTGTGTGTTGATGATAGTCATATTGATAATAATAATAATAATAATAATAGAAGGGATGATTGATTGTCATGAAACTAGTATACGATACTGTGTAATGTGATGAAACTTTTAGTGATTGACATATGCCCATACTACTTACTATCTTTAATTATCATCATCATCACGTCTCATGATATGAAAATATCTCATGGGGAATAATAACGGATTATCTAGGAGGACGAGGCATGCGTGTATCCATTGCGTGTGTCTTCGTAACTGGACATTACTGGTAAACGTAGGTGTACGTGTGTGTTTGTGAGTGAGTGGGTCAGTGTGTATGGATGTGTGTATTCATGAGGGTTAATCTGCACTACTAGCTAACGTGTTTAAGTGTACGCGTCTCTGCCCCCCCCCCCCGCCCCACCCTACTCATGGAAAAACGTATTAGTAATATATGATGTCATTCATAACTACTCATCCAGTGTTAGGAGACATAGTGTAGAGTCTTCTTTTGTTTCATTGTGTGGGGGGGGGGGGCGGCGGCGAAAGTGTATTCATCGAGGGCGGTCATAATTTTTGTAAAAGACAATATTTTTTTCCTCGATTATTTATTCTTGTATTTGTTATCACTAAAATGGATAATTTATCATAGTAATTACTTTGTTTGCAATCATTAATAATAATGATACTCGTAATTATTGGTAAAGGGTGTGTATTCACATTTCGTTTCTCCCGCCCTGGAATTGATCTGATTATATACTGTGATAGTTATTATTATCTGGCGTATAGGATGAATACAGTATAACGGATTAATGCATATAAATCCCTTTTTTAAATTTTAATTCAAAAGTGTGTTATACACTTGACCGAAAATGTTCGGTCAATTACATCAGAGTACATCTCTATGAAGTGTCATTTGAAGTGATTGCCAAGCAGTGGTGGCCTTCACGTTAGGGATGCACAGTGTCCTCATTTCTGTTTAACTTCATCAGAGATACTTTGAAGACTTTGTGAAGGCCTTCGACAGTGTTGACCGCGAAGTAATTTAGAAACTACTCGTGTACTACGGTGTACCACAAATATTCATCAACCTTATTCAACAGCTGTAAGACAATGGCACATGTCAAGTGATCAACAATGGTAAACTCAGCGAAGCGTTTGGAGTAAACACAGGAGTCAGACGAGGATGCTTATTATCACCAATGATATTCCTAATTGTGGTGGACTGGATTATGCGTCAGAGAGTGCGAAACGAGAAGACAGGGATATCTTGGACCGACGTGAAGAACCTAGAACCTAGACCTGGATTTCGCGGATGATCTATGTTTGATGTCACACAAAATCGAAGACCTACAAGCGAAAACCGATAAACTGGTCGAAGAATCTGCAAAGACAACACTCCAGGTGAACATAGACAAGACGGAGGTCATGAAAATAACCAACCAACAACAACAGCAGCAACATTCAGTGCAAATCACCATCAACGGGAGGGATTTGAAAGAAGTTTCTTCATTCACTTGTCTACCGAGCATTGTCTCAATTACAGGAGGGACGGACGAGGATGTCAAATCGAGAATCAGAAAGGCGAGATACACATTCATCAAACTGAAACCAATCTGGAAATCTTCGTCACTCAGCATCAACAACAAAATGATTCGGATTTTCAATACAAAAGTCAAGTCAGTCAGTTTTTCTATACGGATCAGAAACTTGGCGGGTCATAAAGAATATTTCCAACAGCCTTTTGCAGACCTTTATCAACAGCTGTCTTCGCTGGCTCTATGCTGAAGATCAGATGGCCGGAAAGAATCACCAACAAGAAACTATGGGAACTAACAAAACAAGAACCAATCGCTCAACAAATATGCAGGAGAAAGTGGAGATGGATTGGACACTCGCTGTGGAGGCCACTGGGTGACATCGCGCGTCGGGCCAACGCTCGAGTGGAACCCGAAAGGGAAGTGGCGAGTGGGACATCCAAGGGTGACATGGAGGAGATCGTGTGAAGATGAGTTAAAACAGTTTGGAATAACATGGATGTAGGTGGAAAATACAGCAGAAGAGAGAAACAAGTGGAGATGTGTAGTTGAAACCCTATGTTCCACTAGGAACCCAAGGAAACGATAATAATAATAATAATCAGAGATATACTAATTGAATTAACCTGAATCCATGGGAATAATCTTGCTGTCTTAGAATATGAGAATGATATAGTCCTATCAACTAGGTGAAGACTCTGACAAAATGTAGAGTCTTTTGAACATCTTGAAGAGTGGCAGTCTTCAAATGTTTGACATCTGATTTGTTCCTGTCAAGTGTAAGATGATGCTACGGGAATGAACTATATTGACTCCTAGCTTAAAGACAGGGAGTAAAGTGGTAGAGTGTATCGATCGCTTCACTTATTCGGGAAGTTGCATCAGCCCCAGTGGATTGGTCGCTCACGGAATCTTTGCATGGACAGAGAAGACTCATGTGGCATTTGTCGAGAGACTAACACGATTTCTGGCGTAGGTGTGGTATCCGGCTGGCTGTTGACCAAAGGACTGTTTTATGAATATGAACCGGTTGGTGCATGGTGATAGTCAATGTATGTGTTGTTATCAGTGTAGATTCCTTCACGAATCAAAAGTTAAAGGCTCATTGGAAATCAAAGGGCAGAGGACATTACTTGTTTCCTAATAGTTTGGGACTATTCAGTGCAGTGCATACTCACTACTACTCCACCTGGGAATGAAGACAGACAGAAGAATATTAAGGGGTTGTATGGTAAGCGTGTTAAATATTCAACAACTGGGTTGCAGGATGTGGTTACCGATTTATTGTAACTTTTGTTTGTGATAGAATCTACAAAACCAAAGCTTAGTAACACAAAATATTTATTGGTTACAGGATTTCGTCATGAGCTGACATTGGTTACAGAACCATTCAAAAACCTGGGAGTACTGGACGACTGTTTCGTCCTAGTTTGGGACTCTTCATCAGTACGCACCCACTTGGGTTCGAACTCAGGTTTTCCAATGGTTCTCTAACCAATGAAATCCTGTAACCAATCAATGAAATCCCTACAAACCAACACTTGAATATCGATGAGATGCTTACTGGCGACTCGCCCTATTCGGGTAAGTAGTTACGTAGTGTTCTAGTTGGAAGTCGTGACCAGTAGGGTGCAGCAGGTCGGATGTGAGGTCAAATACTCGCCGAAGACATTGGCTAGCGGGCGCGCTTTGTCGTGAATTGACAGAAGTTAGAATTCATGGGCTGGCCATTGGATAGGGTGGGTCCCAGTGGCTTAATGGTCTGCGAGCTAGCTCGCCTTGTAACCGGAAGGTCCTGGGTTCAAACCCCGATGGGTGCATGCTGATGAAGAGTCCCAGACTAAGACGAAACAACTGTCCAGTACTCCCTGCCAGGTTTTCCAATGGTTCTCTAGCCAATGTCAGCTCACGATGAAATTTATTTATTTATTTTTGCTTTATTTCTACATATCTACTTATATATTGTTTTCAGACTTCTGGTACCCTCTGGAGACATAAAAAAACACACGAGAAACGTGTTTATCATATCTGTTCAATATGTTCAGCTTCATTCACCCGTCTATCGAATTTGAATCGTCATTATCGTCGTACGCATAAACGTCAACAAAAAGTATCAAATAGTCAGACAAATGAGACAGAAATATCAGTAGCATCGAAGAATTCCAGGCGATCGTCAAAAAATCGTCGGACAAAAGTTTCGTCAACAACATCAGCAGTCAATGAAAAACCGTCACGCAGGAAAAATTCAACAAATACTCGTACTTGTATTATCAATGATAATAAAAGTCGAAACACTGTTATGCCTATTGATGAAGACGATTCAACAAGTGTACTCAATACTGTAGTACATGAAGATATATCGTATGAACAGACTATTGCAGAGGTGATTCCTGTGGAGATTACAGTATGTGGATTGCTTTACTCCTTTATTTTATTATTATTAAACTTTGATTCCATAATTATTTAGTTATTATATTGATGTTAGATGGTTGGAGTTCTAGGTAGGTAAACGGTGAGTTACGCTACTTGAACGAACTTGAGTTCGTTTCCTATTGGCTTCAACCAGAAGTAATGTTTATGATTGCTGTCTGGTCATCTATCCTGCTAGACTTGAGTTTTAGTCACACTACCTTCTGATTCTAACCCTGGCCCACCTAACTTGGTGGCCAGGTCGTTCATAACACCACCCCTACAACCCTAGCTAGAAAAGGGAGAATATAATATTCACAGCTGTTCAGGAATGTATTTGTTTAACGATGGCAGCGAAGACAGTACAGCAATATACAATCACAACGCAATGCACAGCAACTCTCTTCTTCCTTGAACATCCACTTATGTGCAATTTGACCCAGTCAGCGTAGATAAACAAATTGACTGTTGAAAGAGAAATAGCTGAAATCCAATTGAATGGACGGACTTCTATAATCCTCTACGAAGTCAGTCGTCACGAAACCTTGAAAGTAGGTTGGTGCTTGTTAACACGTCGTCAACAAGGCGTATCTACGGCGTATTGAAGGAACTCATTTCCCCTCTAGGATACAAACCCATGTCACCCAGTGATACACTCACAGACATCATGCCACAACCATTCGGGCTCTCAACTTATCTTCTGCAAGACTAATGTACTGGATACTTTGATTCGCCACTGGGGTAGTAACTAAATGACATCCGTCTGGGGTCTTTCGTTTGGTGCAGACTAAGCTGTGTGAGTGACACAGTGTTTCGACCTCTGGCAGATTGTGACCAATTCAATTTTATTGCTCTATCGAAAATTATTCTAAATTGCTGGTCATAATATCAACCACAGCAATTTCAACCGAGACGACTGATAAGTGGGTTTTTTACTGTCTAAAACAATAGTTAAAAACCTTGACAGCTATACTGATAATAACATAATTTGAAACACTTAGTCCCTTTATGAATTTCGACAGAAGATGTAATATATCTAAATCGTGTAATGTTCTATTTGCGCTACACATTTCGAACAATCTGATCACACACGTACTTGTCATAAGAATATATATATATATATATATATATATGAAAATGATAAGGCATTAAGGGTTAAGAAAATTGACTGAGGTCAATTTAAGAGGACATATTGAAGGTCAAAGTAACAATGAAGATCGCTAAACCAAATAACAGAGGCAATAGCACATCTACCCTGGCTGATATCAAAACAAAGTTTATCAAGGAAGGTGGTTTAATGTGATGACGAATTGTTACTTTGAACGCATAAAGATGGTTAAAACTTTCTAATTGCCAGCTAGGGCTACCAAAAACTTTGGGATACACCAAAAACACGTTTTGTAGACAGGTTTAAAAGACGTGTGTAAACATAAATTTTATCTTCTGTCACTATAATATGCTTTGCGAGGAAAGAGCTAGGTCGTCTATTCTCACCATTAATGGGTTCTGGAGATTCGACTTGCTTCTGAAGCCCTTATTTGCAAAGATTAATGTGTCCTCTTTTATTTGATCAGATTGTTCGAAATGTGTTGCTCAAATACATTATGCGATCCAGATAAATTACGTCTTCTTATTGCTTCGTCAATATATATATATTTCATTCTCCACAAAGATTGCGTAATGTTAAAGGTGCACAATGTGTGCGCGAAAACTATAAAATACTGTTACCTAGGGCTATAAGCATATAAATATATATATATATATGGCGAATTGGCAGAACTTGGAGTCCATAGGCTGGTCATTGGATTGGGTCCCAGTATTTGAATAGTCTGCGTGCTTGCCTTGTAAGTGAGTGAGAAGGTCCTGGGTTGTGAAAGCCTAACGGATTCCTACCGATGAAGAGTCGCAAAATAGGACCTCCTGTTGGTTTTCCAAGAGTTCCCTAACTGATATCAAATCTTGATCAAACCTGTAACCAAATCAAATCCCTGCACACCAACCATTACTTGATTGTTATTAGATCTGATGCTCACTAGCGACTTGCCCTATTCAGGCAGTTAACCTGGGGTTCTGGTGGGAAGCCGTGACTAGTAGGGTACAGCAGGTTGAAGATGAGACAGTAACTCATTGAAGAAGACATTGCGGAATGTTCGCGCTATGTCATAAATTGGTAGAAGTTAGAATTCAAGGACCATTGGATCGGGTCCCAGTGGCTTACGGTCTACGAGCTCGGTGTCCTTGTAACCAGAAGTTCCTGTGTTCGAACAGTGGCCGTGGGTGCGTACTGATGAGGAGTCCCAAACTAAGACGAAACAGCTGTCCAGTGGTGCTCCAACTGATGTCAGCTCATGATGAAATTCTCCATGCAATCGAACAAAAATCCCTACAAAACTAATACTTGTTATTAGAAATGACGTATAATATTTTAAATTTTAATTTTAAATGCGACCTAAACAAACTGGTTGGCTCTCACGAGGTATGCAACATAGATGGCACTGAAATAGAAACCAAGTCGGAAATTAAATACCTAGGCGTCATTCTATTTGCTGATCTTTCCTGATCGTCTCATATCTTAGCGATTTCTAAGAAAATATTCCGTCTTACCTTCTACATCAAGAAGTTAAAACACTCTGGTATAACCCAACCCTTTCTCCTACAATTCGTTTACTCTCGCATTCTGCCTATTATTCTCTATTGTTCCCCCTTAGTTTTTCCAGGGCTACTGAAGAAAGACTGTAACATATTACGCAGGATGTTAAGGGTTGTCAGCAGGGTAAACAACGTGCCACTTAGCCAGCTTGTTAATATTCTGGTCGACAGGCACATGGACTCATGTGAAAAATGGGCCAAATCCATTTTATCTAACTCACACCACCCTCTTCACTCACAACTCTCCCCTTGCATCTCATCAGACAAAACCAGAAACTTATATAAAAAACCTAAATGCTCGCACCAGCAAGTACAAAATCTCAACCATACCCTACTTAGCTTGTGTTCTGTGTGATAAAGAAAGCATTAGGCGTGACACCTATAATTCATTAAATAGTCAGTAGAACAACTGGATCTCGTCTTTCCTACTCACATCATTTACACGTACAACACTTTCTTTCTTTCTTTTCCTCTCCTCTCTCTTTTTTCTCTTGTATTCCGTTATGTGCTGCTTTGTTTCTTTCTCCCGCTTACGCTAGCAAATATGATAGCACCTACTTTTCTAACACTTTCAAACACTGTTCAACTTTGGCTTTGCTACCGACATGCCAGTATGTTGTTGTCATAATGAACTGTGATTTCCTTAATCTTCTTAGAATTCTATTTATTGATAATGTACTAACTGGATGCAATACTGTAGTAGAAAATGTTGAGAATTCCATTCTGTATCACAAGTACTGTTATTATTATTAATTTTAATTTAAATATATTGACAAATAATTTTTGATTGTTATTATTATTATTATTATATATAATTCACTTTGTAGCCACAAATTCCCAGTGATAATTGTTCGTCAAGTCATCAAACATTGGCAGATATCTTCCAAGATCCTCATCATGATCATGATCATGATCATGCAAGCCTTTCAGAACTGATCGATATGACTGAAGCTGATCTCAGTGATAACGTTGTATTGATAGATCATCAGTCAGTTGCGGTTTCGTGTTCAGCCGCAGCGTCCTCGACGTCGTCAACACTATCTGTGGCAACAACGTCAGCGACTGTTTTAACATCGTCATCATCATCGACAACAGAATGTTCGCTTTTGTCAGCTAGCAATATCACCGCTTATCAAACAGTCAATATCCCAGATAACACTGCTGTATACATGTTGAATTTTACCGATTTAAATAATGCTGCCGGTGGACATGCATTCTATGAATCAACTTGTACAAATTTAATTCATGAAAATAGTGGTGATGCCTCACATCATCATACAATGATGATATCAGTACCCGATTCTGTGTATCATCATCATCATCAAGCAGCAGGATTTGTCGATGGACCGTCAGCACCCCCTTCTTCTTCATCAGCATCAGTTGGAACAATCGGTTCTTTACCTTCATCATCATCATCATCAGCGACAGTATCCGGTGGAACGATATCAATACACCCGAATTTTTTACTCCCCATTCAACTGACAACTACATCACCCTATTCATCGAAATCATCGACTCTGCTTAACAGTAGTAATGATAATAATAATAATAATTGTAATACTGCTGACGATAATGGCGGTGGAGTCATTGGTGGTCATGATGTTACTGTTTCATCGGATAACAGTCATCAGCAACAGCAGCTTCCATGGTCCACTGTTATCTCATGTCATCCAGAGCCTAGTCTATGCTATTTGATTACAGCAACAGAACCTCTTGACAGTGATATTTCATTTGATGTCGATGAAGAGGCTACTACGGCCACTAGTACTATTACTACTACTACTGGTAATAATAATATTTATACGAATAGTAATACTACTAGTGATTCAAACCCTACTAGTACACTCACTGTTACAACTACTAATCACAGTAGTAATGAAGAAGGAGATGATGAAGGAGTTATCAGCAATGTAAACACACCATCATCAGATATAATTGTACACAAACAATCATTCGCCTCAGTGGATATTTTAAATTCCATACAACCTGATGTTCATTCTATTAATAATCTACATGAAACGGATTACAAGTCTCCAGAAATTGTATTCAATGAAAATTGTCTATTTTATGAATCATATCCGTCAACAACAACAATAGCAACAACAACAACAACAACGATGGAATCGTCATTGTCACGATCATCATCTGCAGTGTCATCGTCGTCGACTGCATTGCATTTTTCAACTGCCACAACAATATGGCGTCCAATTGATGATTCAATTGGTCTAGACAGTGTTGTTGAGCAACATCATGAGCAACAACAACAGCAACAACGAAGTTGTCATCATACTTATCAGTTTCCTGTTGTTCCACATTGTTCTACTGTTGCATCTACTGTGACGATTACGAGTACAACTACGTCTGCAGCTGATGAGACATTGATTCCTTTTTCTAACGCGAACTGTCGTCATCAGATGCATCAGTTATTCCCTGTTGTTATATCAGAGTCATTGTCGCGTAATGATGAATTTATCACGCAGAGTATTGGAGGTAATAGTGGGAGCGTTATTGCTGCTGGTGATGATAGTGATAGACTGGTAGAGCATATCATTGCTTCTAATCAGCAGCATACTTCAGTGAACCCAACAGATCTATTGGAGGATACAAATATGATGATATCATGGAATCCAACAAGTACCATTACTACCACTACTACTATTAATAATAACAATAATAATAACAGTAATAATAGTAGTAACATAAATACAGAATTTTATCATTATCAACATTGCTCGCCGAAATTCCCTTCACCAGATCCTAATCATCTGTCTAGTTCACCAATTCTTTCTGGTAATCAATATCATCATCATCATGAGTATGACTTGAAGAATTTCTCTTCTCAAGCACCAGCAGCAACAACATCCTCCTCCGCCTCTTCAAATCATCAGTGTATATCAAATCCGATAACAAGTTTAATTGAAGCGTCAGGATCATGTTCATCTTCATCGTCTGACAGTAATTCCAATGATTCTACAAACTTTTTCGAACAATTCTATGAACATCCTAGTAATACACCCTCAATGAATGTGATTAGCCATCAGCTTACTTCTGGAGATAATTATAATCTTCTAAATAATAATAATAGTATTTGTAGTATCTCTAATCTAATGAATGAGGCAAACACGTGTTATGATGCTACAACACACTCGCAGTTACCTGATGATTATCAAGTGATTACAGATAATTCTACTGATGAACAGTGTTCAAATTTTTCAGTTGGTTATCTAATTGGACATTCTTCTATGCCTCCTCCTCCTCCTCCTTCTTCATCATCATCAGTTACTTCGTCGTCATCGCCATCTTCGTCGTTGGTGGCGTCATCATCAACTGCAGTAGCACCAGCAGCTGCGGCGGTGTTGTCACCTACTGATGGTTTGGGTACAGTTATTAATTATTTTGACAATTCTTTTAATCATCCACTTCATTGTCTTTCGTCTAATCAACACCAGCAGCCACATCAGCAACAACAACGGGGCGATGCTAGATCATTGTGTCAGTTAAATTTTAAAAGTGATTCTATTGACTATGATTTTCTTTAAGTGAGATTAAAACAATCGATGAATGAGATGGATGAATTGAAACATTGAACTGCGTTCAAAATGAAAAAAAAAAAGAAGAAGAAGAAGAGAGAATAAACGCACACATTTGTGTTGTGTTGTCTTTGATGTTTATTTTTAATTTTGTTACGTGTTCATATACTACTTATTTACATATATGAGCATACAATATTATTTCGATGACATTTAAAAAGAAATGTATATAAATTTGTATATCTTTCAAATAAGTATTCAATGATCAATTTGTTGAACAATAATATTTTGATTTAGTACAGTTATATTATTTTATATTTATTAATATAATTATATA